CAGAAGACATTTATTGTCAGTAGTATCAAACTGTTTATCGTTCAATATTATCTAAATAAATAGCTATGAAATCTATTAGCATTAAAAAGTAGCAGAGCTCATGTTAGTGATCTAAGTAATGGACTCTTAACCGCGACAGGTGTGTCTTAAATAGCTCGTAGCAGTCATTAATGAACGACCCTCGCTGACCCGAGAGCGGATCAGGTAATTTAAGTGGGATATACCTGGCGAAACTGAGAGAAAAATGAGATGCCACAACAGCGCGAATTAGAGCACTTCAGATGAACAATCCATAAAACCATCTATAAATCTCGGTCTTTTTCTCTTCATCAAGAAAAATTTCTTTTCTTTTAAAAAAAAAAAAATAATAATCACGCGCTGCAAGACCCTCAATTGCGGCGCTTTCACCGATCGATAAGTCAACGGGATGAGTCCGATGCATTTGTAACAACGACGTGCGTCGACTCGCGATCAGAACACGGTGAAAACGGTTATTCCAAAATTTTTGCACTCATCGACGTTGAGCGACATGATTGGCGGAATCATCGCCAGTACTCTCTTTTCGTACTGAAAAAAGCGGCGAGAGAGCAGGAGAAAGAGGAAGGGAGACACGCACGGAGGATTTGCACGGTTGGCAAAGAGAAAGAGAGAGAAAGAGATAGCGAGGCAAAGAAGAGAGAGAGTGAGATAAAGAGAATGAGAAGGAGCAAGGAAGACAGCAAAGTTTCGGCCCCGGAGGAAGGGGAAAAGAAGAGTACGAGGCTCGTGTTTCCGGCCGGGTGAACAACAATGCCCGCAGACAAATGAGCATCCCGCCTCCATTGTTCGCCCTGATCGGCACGGCGCAGCCTCTCCCCGGGTTCCGCTTGTGCGCTGCCCCGGACCTCTCCACATCGATGTCTCTCTCTCGTTCTCTTTCTCTCTCGTTTTCTCGTCGGGGGCCCACGTCGTCCTCCAATACCCGGTTGGGGGGTCCTCGATCAACCTGATGCGGGCTAACACCGATTAAACATCGCTGCTTCGTCGAATCTCCGTCAACGGGACTCTCCTCTCCGCTCCTCTTTTTCGCCCCCGCCTCTTCGGTCCCCTCCCCCCGGTTTCTACTGTTCCTTTTGTGCTGCCTCCCGATCGCTCTCTTGTTCTTCTCCGTGCTTTTGTTTCCGCGTGTTCGCTGCCTCTCGTGTCCTGCCCGTTTCTTCTTCTTCTTCTTCTTCCATCGCCGTGTCGTCCATTACGTCCCGAATAACGGAGTAATAGAGTGCGAAATCAAGATCAGCGTGCGGACGACTTTCGTTCGACGTGTTGGAATTATTACGCAAATTACGATCGCGAAAATGTCGTGTGAAAATGTAAAATTAAATTTAAATCAAAGCATAAATAAAAAAAAGAACCCAATTTTGCTTTGAAAAAAAAAAGAAGAATCTTCTTGCGTCTTCTATTTCAAAGCAGTATCAAACGTTATCGTCGTCTGCAATCGCGTCATAAAATATTACCGCAACACCCTATTAATTTTAGCCCCGAGTCTTCGATTTGCTATAATTGAACCCATGTCTCGTCTCTCAAGATACACACGTCGGGAATTAGATTCCTGATATTATTCTGACATTATTCGACTTAATGACGGGCTAAAGCACATGACTGATTTAGCCTCCTTAATAATTACATATCTCGCAACTTGACAATGCCGCCTGGCTTGGAGATTTTCCGTCGCAATTCAGATTCTATCATATATGCAATGTATATTGCGTTATTTATGTGTACACATCAAAATGTGATGACGGCAGAGATTCGCCGGAGAATTGCAATACAGACGTGGTTATCGAATTGTTTTTATGGGATTATATATTACGTTGCATCATACGCGCGGACATAGGGGTGCGGTTTTTCGATGACCGATTTCCGGCGCAGTCCCCGATCCGGAGACTTACGAGACAATGGACCGTCGTTCGCGAAGAAGACAAATGGTCCGCGCGTAATGGCACGAGCAAGAAAAAAACGAGCGCAGAATCGTAGCGAGACGGAAATCTCCTGCAAAAGATACAATGTCGCTCGTGATTATTATCCATGAAAGGTGACGCCAACTGAATCAACGATTAAGCCGGACTTCCGGCTATCTCGTTGTCTATTATTTATTATCTTTTATCTCATATTTTATCTTACTATTTAATGCGAACTTGTATGAAAAATTTGTTCAGATATAAAATCGATATTCAAGTTGATAAAGGGTTGACGCGATCTGATCGATGCATAGCCGACTGACAATAAGAAGACGACGCTGTGGCTCGGGAGACCAGATGTCGCGTATACATAGATTTGGGATCCGCTTGGTTCATTCATGGCAGCTCCCGTGGCAGCGAACACCTTGCTCGAAACAACGTCGACCTCCTGGACCAAAGGAAACCCGATACACTGGTACCTATCTCTGTCTGGATTGCGCGCTACCCTACTCGTCCATATTCCGGTCCGCGCGCGTTCCAATTCCGTTAAACAACAACTGACGACTTACGTCCGAATCGGCCTTCGTACGTACATGTGCTCCGGGAGCACATTACGTACACGTGTTCCGGGAATACAAACGTCGTAATTCTCTGTCCACCAATCTTCGCCTTCAAAGGCGCGATCGTCGTTTCCAAATCTTCTCAGTGAACCAAAAGTATCGCTTTTTATAATTAAGATCATCTCTTGAGAAAAATAAAAAATTAATATTAATAGTATATTTAGATTAAAATTACCAAGCAAATTTAAAGTATTAAAACGCGAATTAAAAAATCGAAACCTGTAAGAAATTTTACAAGAAAATTGTAGAATATCAGATAAAGAAATGTCTACTCCAAGAGACATTTATCAGATTATTTTTTCATTTTTATTTGACTGAATTTGTATCGATCTGATTTGCTGACGGCATAAAACGACCCGTAAAACTGCTACGTGCTGCGATTTATCGTTGTTCAAAAGCTTTCATGTTGGCGTCGAGCTCTTCGTACGGCTGGGTTACCGTGTCGGCCAGATCATCGCATCTGCGATCATCGAGGAAAAGAAGTAATGATTTAATCATTGATGAGTCATTCCGCTAGTCCATACTGAATCGTTCTGTCCACGGCACAGAGCCTGCACTTGTTACTAGCTGCAAGAGCGGTCTTGTCCAAGCCGAGCTGCCGGAAGATCTTCAATCCCTTGCGCCAAATATCCTTCTCTGTCGTTGTCTCTTCTGTGTTTGATATTGTGCTCGACACTTCCGTTTTATTCAGCTTGGCAGTTCGTGCTCCAAGGCACCTTTATCCCAATTTGTAATTATATATAACATGTAACTATAATTATATTATAATATTTACGCGTGTCTCGAGATAGTTAAATTATGAAGAAGATATTTTGTATAGAAAAAACGAGAAGTTTCAGTTTTGAGATCAATGTTTTTACATGTATTTCCTCAAATATATCTGTATGTAATTGCAAATTACAATTTTAGTGCAAGATTTTGTCACATAATTTTTAAATGTTTTCCTATCAGGGAAGTATCGTATAGAAATCACCATTTTGCGCGCGCATTGTAATGTATAATCGCGTAATACAGAATACCTTTCTATATACTTACCTTTTTGCGGTTGCAGCTTATCCTGATCATCTAAGAATTTCCAGAACGATTTTACTTTCTTCTGCCGACTTACGCTACCATTTCTGACAAAGTGCATGTAATCTTCTTTGCTTCTCGAAACCATTTCGCGGCCGCACGAAAAGCATATATTTGTGACCAAACGACTGTTTTGACATCACTTCCGGCATTATAATGCAGCCGCAACGCAACGCGAATCGGCGTCTAGTGAGAATCGAATATCGATCTCTCGCCGTACTTGTTGCTCGATCGATAAAAGTCGATCGACTATTATGGCGCCTATTCAACTTTTAGTAACAATAATTCATACTTTAATCGATATTCACGAACGGACCTTATATTTAAATTCGTTTTAAGTTTATTTTGAGATGCTCTGTAGCCAATAAAATGACTCGTACAGCGTTTTAAGTCGATCTTAAAAATAAACTTGAACTATGAAATTGGTCTTTGACTATGGCCGACCAAATACCGACCTAATAACTCTTATTGAACTTGATATCCCTACTTTTCTTATCTTCACAATACTTCGTCGTGTAATGAAGACTAACAGCGCCTCCATCGCCTAAGTAATAAAAAAGTGAAACATAAAGGCCGCCAGCAATGTTTTTTCAATTCTCACGCGTCATTGCGATAATAGTTTTATATGGTTAATGGATATTAGCGTCTTCGTTGTTAATCTTCAGCATTTTTTTTATAGTATCAAAATACTAACTACGGTCTGATTAATGATTCACGGTTATAATAGTCAAAGAATTCACATGTACAAGATATAATAATTCTCGTTTCACAAAACTCAATGCACATAATATCATTTTGTATTAAAAATCTTTTTTATTAAAAACTTCCATATATATCTTAAAATTAAAATTAAAAATACAACTCTACTAATTTTCTAAGTATCAATATATACTTACATATTTACTTTTTTAGTTTTCAATTGTTGTGAAAGGTTGCGAAGTAAACTTCCGATATTGTTTTAAAAATCTGTATCCAATAAAAACCGATTGTTCTCGCGCATCTTCGAATTCCCGTTTCTCATTGTTAGTATTAAAAGACATCGCTAGGCCTTTTTTCTCCGATTGCGATAACTATTTCAACGGTCAGGACGACTACGACGACGACGAATGATGTCATTGCCCTAAGGGGCCGTCGCGCGCGGCGCTGGTTGCGCGACTGCCCCCTCAAGATGGCCGTCATCGCGTACATCTGATCGGAGGTGTGTATGCGAGAGACACTCGACGCTGATACACGATAAAGAAAAAGCGAGGCTGTGGTCATCACCGCTGGCGATGGTGGTGGCGAATGCGCGAACGTGAGCCTGGCCTGCCGGCACCGATGCGGACCGTCCCGGGCGCCGTCGTCGTCGTCGATGGTTGTTCCTGCGCCCGCGGCCGCCGGCGGCTCGCACCGAGACCATGTTCAGCAAGAAGCTTCATGTAGACGTCAAAAAGTCGACGCTCAAGATCCAGGATGTCAAGAAGGACAGCGCGACGCGTTTCAAGCATCTAAAGATCGTGCTAGGTAAGGACACGCGGTCGCTTCGCCTCCTAGTGACGAATAGTGTTTGTTCGTCTGAGCGTTTTGCGAAAAAAAATGAGTGTGCAAGGGCAGAGAACACATACCTTTGACAGTTGCTTGATCCTACGTGTTAGCGGAGATTCTTTAGAGTAAACCGTAACGATATTTTCTGCTCACAAAAACTGCTAACGTTTCCTTTCATTCTGTGCGCCGTTTAGAAGATTGTTGTATTCATTGACAAATGGCAGTTTATAGTCGCTGATCCTTGTATGCTCAGCTGAATCCTGGAGAAAATAGTATATATTATTTTTATTACATGCTAAAAAGAACTGAAGTTGCCTTTCAAAACTAATGTCAAAAAGTTTTGATGCTGTAAAATAAAATAAAATTAAACTCTTTTAAATTAAAAACATACGTGTTGATAGAATTCTACTAACAAGAGTTTGTAAAAAGTGATACATGGTTTATAGATTAAAAATTGTATTCAAAAGTATTTTGAAAAAACATTTTATCAAACTTTTATTATAATAAACAATTATAAACCACAAACACATAATTGTAAAAAAAAAAAAGTTAAATTGTGATGTTTTTGTCATTTATTTCATATAGATACACATTGTTTACTTGTACATCTCAGTTGAAGAAAAACAGAATTCAAATCCGCAATTGTAAGATTGTGGTTTGCAAGTATTATATGAGAGGTAGTTCAATATCTAATCACCAAACCGCACATGACCACAGTGACCAACACACGGCCTCTATTTCCAGCTAAAGTTACATTTGTTGTTACATATCTTAATATTCATACTACGTATTACTCATATAAAAGTGACTCAGATGTTTTATATATGTGTGGTTATATATATTGATCTACATTGGCAAAAAAATCTGTATCATTTGCAATAAACTGTTTTATTTTTCATTTTAATTGAAACCTAAGATTTTATGATTTTATTTTGTGTGCACGCGCGCGTGTGTGTGTGTGTAATTATGTCACATACTTGTTCTTCATGCTTCTTGTGTACAAGGAAAAAAGTTTTGCTATATAAGCACACTTGTCTAGAAACCAGTAATGATGTAATAGAATTTCCACAGAAGATCTCTGTATAAGGTATACGTGTCATAAGAGAAAGATCTCCTTAGTTAATCTAAATTTTTGTCATTACGTATTATGTAAACATGTAATTTTACTTAGAAATCACTTATTTTTAATTGATTTCGTATTTGGTTTTCATATTTGTGTGTTAAAGAAAATGTGGACACTGACGAGGCAAAGGGCTTTTTTGAGGGCAATTTCAGTCACGTGTACTTCATCCTTTACGATTGCTTCGTGTCCGCCGAAGCGAATCTTCGGCAACGCGGTAAGTTGAAACAAAAAAACATTAATGTACAAAATACTAAATAACTGCCTCACTGCCGCTTAACTTGAAAGATCTCCCGATGCTTATGATGTTATATCATGTAATTACATCATTTATAATTTAACAATTGTTGCTTGTTCGATTGCAATAAACTTGAATTTTTTATTAACGATAATATTTTCACATTATTATCTCATCATCTCTTTCATTTCTTTTCATTCTGCTGCCAGAGCTTTCCTTCCATATTGGTAAGTCACTTGATATCATATTACAAATTTCCTTGAGCTTGACTTTATTATACTCTCAATAGTATCTTTCTAATTGTGCTAGTTTTGCTTCGATCGATTAATCAAATTACGAAGATTTGTGCGATCGTCACTTTTACAAAATTAGCTAGTTAACTATATATTCGCGGAGAGTTCAGAGATATTTGCTGCTACAAGAACATTTTTGTTATATAATGTAATTCGTAGAAGATGGGAGAGAAACAGTGAATTCGTTCTTTTTATATTAGTGCATAAAGCACACAGGGAAGAGTTAGAACAAGTGCTGCAGCTCCTGGAAAAGGTTTTAACTCTCCTTCCTGAGCTGCTCAATAGACGATGGCAATGTCACAGTCTGGCGCGAATTTTGCAAAAGCTTTTGCATCCCGGCAACAGTTGGAAACTTCGTAGACAAGCTATAAGGTACGCGCAATAATCGAGAAGTGTATTTTGTTTTACTCCGAATGCGGTGTATGTAACAAATAACAATACGATAATTGCTTTTGTAGATATTTTATTTTATGGTATCAAGCTCTTGGCGAAAATGCTCCCGAACACATACATCAGATGTTCGCCAGCTTGGTGCCGGGATTTCCACCGCATCAGGCGTCCCCGTACAGATGCGATCGCAAAGCGGACGGCAAGAAGGAAAAGCTCACGAAGACGTCCAATTCCGAGGACAAGAAAGAATTTTACGACACGCAACTTGTGCAAAGCACTTTTCATGACAACGGGCCGAATCAGTGTCCCGTCAGTCAAGTCGACGGCGGTCCCATCTTACCACCGCAGAGCGGGGAGAAGCCGCTTGACAACGAGACCGTTAGATTCTTAGAAGCGTTGCTGGAATTTATGGTTACTCAAGTATATAATATTGATGATATATGTCAAAAGCATTTGTAAATTTACGATAAAATACGACAAAAGTGCTTCTTTCAATAATTAATTGTTCGTTTATCAGGTGGTAAAGGTGGAATGGCGAGATAAATCGACACGACAGCACAAAACTTTTCAGTTCTTGTTGGAGCGCTTTAAGACGTCGTATCTTCGTTACATCTGTCCGGAGTTCGACGACAACTTTTCGCTTTACAAACCCAATCTAGAATTACCCACGATGCGAAAGCCTCTGAATCAAAATCAGGATAACTACGTACTCTGTAAAGTAGCTCTGATCAAGTGGATCGCAAGTTTTACGCATGTCGCTAGAAAGGACGGACTCTTTGCGCATCTCTCACAAACGTGAGTTTATTTTATTACGATGTCTTCTCTCTCGTTTTCATGATTTTGATTTATGTTATTATAGAACTTTATTTATATATAGCACAACGCCAAATGAGGAAAACGCCGAGTCGGAATTACGTCGCGTGTCAGTTACTCAAAACTCCACGGATTCGAATCTACTGTCGCCCGAATCGACCATGTCCCAATCCGACAGTCAAAATCAAGAAGACAACGCCGTTTCGGCGGTCATGTTGGTTAGAGACGTTTTATACGGAAATAGAGATAACGTGAATTTTGTGCACGAATTGTACAGACAAGCGTTTCTCCTTGATTTTAATCATGCGGGAGCTATACGAAAGGCAATTGCCGTTTATAAGGATTGGATTCAAATGAATGTAAGTTTTTAATCCCGAACAGTATTTATATAAATTTTATTAATTTTTTTTAAATTGTTATATTATTTTTTTTTTTTTATGTATCTTGCAGGAGATTCCTCCGTTTATGTTAGAACCGCTAGACGGTCACAAAGATCGAGATTCGGAAGAGAATCAAAAAAAGGATTCGACCGAAATGGAGAAGAGCTCCTCTGAGAATTATCGGCAAACTAGATTGAGAAACGATTCCTATCTCGGTGCTATACACCGGGAAAATTTGTTCATCAGGGCAGGCCTACAGAATGTTCTACAAGTTTTTATCACGCAGGCGTCGAACGTTTTCTTCCTAGAAAATTCAGGACCGAACGCGTCTCCGACGTTACTCGAGGAACAGACGGACAGTTGCAAGCGAGTTTTGAATGTGTATCGATACGTTGTTATGCACTCCAGATTGGAGCCAGCAACGTGGGAACAGTTACTTAGGTACATGCGATGGTCTCTCGCGATTTGATAACTTTCTTGATCTTATTATGTTAAATTCAATTTTTTGTATATGCCAGAGTATTGCTGCAAATTACATCGCTCGTGTTGAGCGACAAGTTCTCCCGTCGCAAGAATCAGGAAAGCATCGGCGGAAAACTCGCGCCCGCCATATTCCAGACTCTAATTGTCACTTGGATCAAGGCCAATCTAAATGTCGTTATTTCCACCCAACTGTGGGACCAGTTTCTGGAAGTGTTGACGTCACTGACCCAATGGGAAGAATTAATTCGAGAGTGGGCGGTAAAGTGTGACGAGAAGCTCTTCAAATTCCATCTCTTGCACATCTATGCCATAAATCATCATTTAAATTGTTTTTTAATATATAGAAAACTCTGGATACTCTGACGAGAGTGCTGGCGAGACATGTCTATAACTTGGACTTAAACGATCTGCCTTTGGACCGACTCAGCGAACAGAAGTCAAAGAAGCGACGTGGAGTCGGGAGTCGCGCGGCGTCGACGGGAAGCGTGCAACCGCCTCGGAAAGGCAGCGTCGATCAAGAAAACAACACAGCGCCCAAGGAAAGCGTTACAGGTGCGTAGGAAACATTATTATTAACGATCGCCGTTTTATCTTATATAATTTTGAGATAAATTTCTTCATTATTTTCTTCATCAGATCATCCGCTGCGCGATATGAGGAAAGTGCGACCGCTGCCGCGTAGTGCGAGCGACAACACGATATACAACAGCAAAACTCGACCGAAGCTGCACAGGCAGCGCACGCACACGATACACAGCGGTATTCCCGGTAGGTCAACGAACGCGATCAACTCTTGCAGTCTTGTCTTCAAAGTTCCTCGGAATTCTGGCGAGAAATTCTCTCTTTGGTAGTGTCCTCTGTGTTGCTGTGACAGTGTGCGCAATTTATTTATAACAGTTTCTTACTTTTTTCGCTTTGGCGCTGACATACCGGATCAAAAATAACTCGCCTCCTTGTGCGCCGCGCTCAGATGGACACACGAAGTAGTTTCATTCTTTCTCTTTTCATAGATCCCGCCACACTTGTAACACACACAGCGCCCGTCGTTGTTCAGCTTGTTCTAATTTTAATACTCGACATGTCGCTCACGAGATCAATGTTTTAACCGAAACAATTTTTTTTTGTCAAGTACATATACATCTTCGCCAAGTGTTTGTCCTACTTCTTGATTAAGTGTAAACAATTTCCACACGTGCAGTACTCCCGCTATCGATAGAACAAGATATGGCGCGGTTACTGTCAAGCGGCACGGCATCCTCTTCGGCATCGTCGGCGGCAACCGGTCGGAAGATGTCCTCCAGCAGACGCGCCAAGTCTTTGGATAGCATTGTTGTAGTTGATAGCGAGCCGCCGTCGCCGCGATGCCCGTCACCGACACCCAGCAGCGGCGTCGATAGCAACAAAGATAGCCCGATACAGATAGAAAATATTGACGGTAGCAGCATTGGTATGTATACGGTCCGTCGTAGTTTTACAATCTTTACACGCACACACAACAATATACAAAAAATCTGTTTGTTTGTTTGTCACAAAGTGTGAGCACATTACTGAAGAATCATTTTACCTCTGTCTTTTAATATTATATTAATAACCATTTCTTTCTTTGTGTAACATCCCATTATATATATATATTAAGTGAATATATTTTTATTAACAATACATTATGCTTTGATGATCGCTTATTTATGCAGTCAAAGCAAGAAATTCTAATATTGAATCAAAGTAAAGAATCGAAATGTTTTTTTTTAACTACAAGCCTATGCTTTTTTTAGACAGTGATGGTTTTCCGCTTTTTTTCGCGAGTCTATATCTTATCAAATTCTTATGTTAAGCTTATAACAATTTTATTTGTTGCACAATATTTAAATGCAAAAGCTTGACTTAATGCGTAAATGACAATAATTTATAATTTATAAATAAATTAATTCATAATGTTTCATAATTTTTTTATAAATTGTGCAGTGAATTGTCAGTATTATATATATATATATGTTTTTTACTTGCAACTTAAAGTTTTACTGCAAACAAAATTTAAATCTTTATCTGATCTAATTTGATAAATTGACGAACATGTAGCAGTTATTGTTTGATCCTACGCACAGATACAAACGATGCGTCTGAGAGAAGATCAGTTATGGCGGGTGGAGGGGTTCGTGGATGGTTGCCAGATGTGGCTGTCGTTTTGTGGCGACGTATGTTGTCGGCGTTGGGCGATGTGAATAACATTCAGGATCCCGTTTTGCATGGCCAAGTCATGGATTATCTCGTGCAGCTCACACAAACATTGATCAAAGTAAGAGACTTATACTCGATATACAGCTTTGAAATACGTAACTAACATTGACAATGAAACGTGTGTCGATTATTTGTGGTATTTCTATTTTCTTCTTCGTGCGTTCAGATACGTTTAAACCAAGGAGTGTCCGGAGATAATCAAGCAACGCCACCAGCGCCGGAATTAATTCCGCCTCTAACAGTCATTGCACCTTGGTGCTTTAAGGTACGTGCGATGACGTGAATAATTTTTTTTTTTTTTTACATTTGAAATCTTTTTGAAATATTCTCTTGTTTTGTTTTTAGGCGATCCAACTTCCCGAGCAATACGAACTTGGCAAACTGGCCGCGTATCGTCTCATATGTCTGCTAACGGTACAACCGCTGGACATCAGTTTGCCGAAACAACATCTGACGCTCTTTTATCGCGCCGTTCACAGTGGAATCGTCAGCAATGACAGCAAAGTTCTTCATGTGCTCGTGAAGTATACGGGACCCAGATTGTTCAGTTTAAATCTGCCCGGATCGAGTCTTTTGATTCTGGACTACATACACGCCGCCAACATGATACTGAGCAGTCAGGACGTTGAAGTGCGTAATTTATACACGTTTGACTGTTTCAACTGAGATGTGATATATTTATCTTTTCGTCGGTGTGTGTTTACGCTGCTTCCAGGCGCCGAGGACGGAAGCTGTTTCCATTATCGGCTCGTTGTTGTCTCTGCCTGTTGCAACAATGAAGTTACCGATGCTGCAGCCGACCGGATCTAACATCGTCACCATGACGTGTCCCGAAGCGAAAGTAACGATGCCTTCACGCACGTAACACCTTAACAATAGCCTCAAAATAACAGGTTTTTGCCAATTTAATGGTTTGTGAACTTTACATAGGAACATATTTTGACGATACTTATGCGGAGTTGTCGGCGAGAACCTACCGGAATTGCGAGATGCGTGGCCTTATCAAGTATTGCGATGTTCGTGTATAAAGAACTGTGCTACAAGACGCAACATCCGAAAGTGCCGGAAGCTGTCACTGTTCTCCTCCTTGCACTTAGGGTAAAAATGCAAATTTCTCTGTTAAATCTTTATTAGATACATTTGAAATAATATGAAATCACAAAAAAAGTGCCTAGTAATGCACCAATTTTAACCGAGCCCCATAGAGTTTTTTGAAAGTAGAATGCATGACGCAGGGAACTTTTATTATTTTGATCGCTTGATAGAGTTTTTGCACTTAAAATATTCAACTGTACATCACTCGAGACTTGTATCGCTGCTACTTTCATGAAAATGTAAATTATTTTTTCTAAACGATATTATATTTAACAGTAAAAAATGCACTCCTTAATATCTAAGCTAAGCAGGTGTGTTGCAACATAGTATAGTAAGACGAAAAAAAAGCGAATGTTTCACTGAGCGTCGTTGACAGCGGATGCAAGGAGCAGAGCGTCACAGAGCTGGTTTCTGTTTTCCCATGATGAGCCAGGTAGTCTTTCTTTTTTTCCCCCCAGCCTCGATGTAGCTGTGTCGGCCCGTTTTATCTTGTGACGTTTTCACAGTTCTCTCCACTGACGCCTACACGTCTTACGAGGAGTATCTATCACTTTGCATGGCCTAATGTTGTATGTGCGAAGTAATAAGTTGTGTTTCAGCCTGCGCGATGATGCCTTTGACGTGTTCCGCATACTTGTTAATCAGCAAACTCTCTACGCTACTAATTCGATGTTATAACAATAAAAACTATAACAAAACTTACTCTTTATCGTTTTTGCGTAGCAAGTTTTTGATAAATGTTTGACAGTCGTGCCGATTCTGATTTTCAGGCTTCGCATGCCACGGTTGCTCAAGTCGCGTGCGATTCCTTGTTATTACTCTGCGACAAGGCCGACGTGCTGCTAGAATTATATCCTAACGTGCCATCGAAAATAATACAGGTGTGTCTTACTGTAAGATTTAAGAATATCGTATAGAAAGGTATAAAATGAGTGGTTTTTTTTTTAATTTTTGAAATATATTTTGAAATTGTTCAGATTTTATCGGACACACTCGGCCGAATGACAGCGCGAGAAAGGCGCGGACCTTTGACAGTGTCTATGCTGTTCTGCCTGGGCGAATGGGCCATGCACTTAGGACCAACAGTATTACTACAAGTGTTTCATGGAAAACCCCTCTTGATGACCATATTTACAGTTAATATATAAAAATATTACAATTTTTGTTTTTGTATATATTACACATACACAGAGATTTCTTATATCATTTTTTCTATATACTGTTTGATCAATGTCTGAAGATAGTTTTCGGGTTTTTGAGCCGCGTTAGTGTCATGTTTTTTTTTTTATATCGACGTTTTGTAAACATTTCAGTTCACCTTATCAGAGTTTCGAGAGTAATCTGATATATTGTTTGATGTTTTTTTTTAGGTGTTGAATAATATAGTGCAAAATAAGATTGGCAAGATCGCGAAGAGCAGTCACGAGGAGGATGACGATTTTGATCCCAACATCACTTTGGATAATTTGATTGACGAGCCCTCTTCGAAATCACCTCACAAGGGAAACATTCAATCCGTGCAACTGGCAGCAAAAATGGTAAACTCTCATTTTTTTGCCTTGTTATATACACTTTATAAATACACGTACGAACTTAATTAATGTTTACCTCGGACAGGTGATAATGCATTTAATCAATCATCTGGGACATTTTCCAATGGGAATCGGAGCCGCGCGTTTGTCGTCGTTGGTTGTCGAACTGGACGACGTTCCTGGAATTGACGGCGACGAGCTGTCCTCCGCCGTGTTTCAAGCGCCGAACATACAACTCTTGATGCTCTCGAACTCGATCATAATGTCGCTAGTGGAGCTGGCGGCGTTGGACGCGCCAGGCGGGGGTGTCACAGCCGGTTTGACTACCGCTCCTTCGTTGGTTAGAGTTTTGCTGCGTGATCTCGCTGGGAAAGCTTCTTGGGACAGTTCGATTCTATACAGTCAGCCGTTTATGGACGACGATCTGCCGTTGCCGTTTGCGAAACCTGGTATTGATAACTTATTTGTTTTTTTTATGTAACACAATTTTATCTCATTGAGAACAAAGTGAGACACGTAAGTTTGACGTTGATTTTAGTTGATTGGAGCGTGAAATTTCACACGGATGATTTAAACAGCGTAATCACACCTCATAATTGTACACCGAGACACACGATACGACATCGCGAACCCCACATATTGCCGACTTTCGCAAATGCCGCGAGCGACATGGACAACTTGGACGATGTAAGTTACGGTGAAGTTACCAAAGCTTTAAATGTTTTTTGAAAATTCGAAATGATTCTCATTAGAGAATTGAATATTTTTCAGCTCCTTCAGTATATAGGACACACCAGTCCAGAAGTACTGACTAATCCAGAAATTGCTCTCAACGCACCTGCCAATCCACCTCAGGGACATTTCCTCGAAAGCGAGACTATTGCCACGATTTTGAGTCAAAGAAATGCGGAACAGGAACATATCAACAGTTGGAATCAGCACATCAGGTTGAACGTGTTTTATCTTCTAGCATATAATATATATTTCACAAAATTACATAAAAATTAAATACTTTTATTTTAATATGTAAATTTTAATATCAGTATGAGCGCATCGGCGATCAGCCCGCCGTCGTGTCGCCCACCTCCGGCGCCGTTTCATCACTGCCGTCTCCTATTTTCGCATCTTGGTCTGTCCGGCTGGGAACAGCGTAGAAAATTGCATTTGCTAGCGAAAAACGAGAAGCTCTTGCGCGAGCTTCGTAATCTCGACAGTCAACGATCCAGGGAGACACACAAGATAGCGGTTATCTACGTTAGCCAAGGTCAGGAAGACAAGAACTCCATACTGAGCAACGTCACTGCCAGCAAGGAGTACGAGAGCTTCGTCGCGAGACTCGCGTGGGAGGTCGAGCTGGAATCACATACAGGTTTCCTCGGTGGGCTGGTGCCCGGTAAAGCGTCCGGCGTTACCGCGCCGTACTATGCCACATCCTTCACCGAAGTCCTCTTTCATGTCGCGACGAGGATGCCGTCGGATAGTCCGGAAAGTTTATTGCAAAAGGTATTTCCTTGACGCAACTTGATGCATCTGTAGCACTTCGCAAAGTGCAAAATATTTATATAAAGCGATTTGATTACAGACGCGTCACCTTGGCAACGATGAAATCCATATAGTTTGGTCGGAGCACTGGCGAGATTATCGCAGAGACATTATACCTACGGAGTTTTGCGACGTTTTGATAGTGATTTATCCTCTGCAGAACAAGCTTTACCGCGTGCAGATCTCGCGAAAATCAGAGATTCCGTTTTTCGGACCTCTATTCGACGAGTGCATCGTGGAGGATAAGGTGTTACCGGGTCTGGTGAGAACGACGGCGTTAGCTGCGAGCAGGGCGAAAAGATCTACCCTCACATTATATCAAAATTAGTAAGCAATTCGTCAAGTCATGTCTTTTTACATGTCACACGTAACGTAAACTGATTTATTAAATTTCATTTTAACATATTTTTAAATGTAAATTTCAGTTACGAGGAGCGGTCGCGATCCATCGACACTGTCATAAGAAATCATAAAGAGGCCACTACGTTTGAGGAGTTTACGGCTAATGTTTACTCGCCGGTACAGCCACCGAGCCCGTTCAGCGGAGCTTCGTCTGTTTCAGGTGAATATCACTGAAGCATCACACAACTATATTATTCTCTAATTTAATATTTAATTTTTTTGTTTTGAAGAACAAAATCTTTTTTAAATCTTTCAATGTGCGTATATATGTATACGTATTTTTATTTGTGTGTACAAGTTTATTATTATGAACATATCACACACTATCAGGATCTACAACAAGCGTGCAATCCACAGCGTCGTCGAACCTCGCGGCAGCGCTTATAGATTCGCATCAGGGACGCTCTGGTTTGCGCGGCAGTTCCGCGGCGAGCAGCGACAACCGCGCGAATAGAGGTGACTAATTCAGTCCACTAACCCCCACCCACCTCTTGTAACACCACCAGGCAAGGTAGTATTATTAGTTATTTATTATTTCCGTGCTGTTTTCTCTTCCAACGTTTTATCTGACAATTGTATCCTACGTCTCTGTCTATCCGTTAAGTATATACACTTCAAAAGTCGTCAGGATTTGATGTAATATGAATTTATAAAGAATACTTTCTCCGTTAGAACATCAATTTGCAGAGCACGTTGCTGATATGTTTGCCGATATCCAGACAACATGCTGTAAATTGATGTTCTAACGGAGAAAGTATTCTCTATAAATTCTCACGATTCTAATTTTAATTGTTAACTACTTCTTTGTGTGTTTTAAAAATTACATTTTAATTGTAAAATTTAATCTGTCGTTAAAGTAAAACCATGTCAAAGTTCTTCTTTTTAACATTTCCATATGTATCTTAATTAACATTTTATTATTTATGGCAAGTCTTGCAAAACATACTCAGAGGTAATCTTCCCAATTTGTGAGCACTAAAGTAGCGTGTTTGAATATTTACTTACTTTATTATGTTTTTATTTTATTATATAAATATTTACTTATTTTATTTGTTTTATATGCTATGTGTATTTTAAATATTGTGCTTTTACAAAAGAATATAATTTATATATATATATATATATATATACGCAATCTGCAAGATAATTATTAATGCATTGTTCTTGTTCAACCGCACGCTTGTTTTTTTTTTTTTTTTTTTTTTTTTCTGTTTCTCTCACACAAGCGTTTCTTTTTTTCTTCTGGCTAATTTTTTACGCGGCTTTTTCGGCGTGGCCGATGATGATTCACAAAATCTTGACTGAGCGAGCGTGTTTTTCGACATTTGTTTCCAGTTTCCGACGGAAGCAGGGTGTGGTTCAGCAGTGACACCCCCGAGAACACTACGCTTCACGGTATTTCACCGAGGCCCGTGAAGAAGATGTCCTTTAAAACTGGACCAAAACAGAGAGCTAACACGCAATCGACTCCTCCAGACAGTCCGAGATACAAATAAAAGGCTGTGTTTTTATCGAGGAGATGGTTCGATTCATCGTGAATTTGAATGCTGCACTCTTAAAAAAAAAAAAAATCCTTTGGACGAAAAAGAAAAAGATTTATTGAGTAGTTACGAATTTCTACCGTTGCGTCAGTACTTTGCGCGCGTCGATTGATGATTTAATCGACAAATTTGGCGAATATACTTTTTGGCCAGCACTCAGATACAAAAATTTTATTCAACACAGCGGAGGATCGAACTTCCGGTTTGTAGCCTTAATGTTTTCTGTTTTTCTCCGTCCTTATAGATTTACTTTTTATATTAAATGTACAGATCGTTGTTTATTTGTTGCAACGTGATTAATTTATTGGAAAGTCAAAAAAAAAAACAGATGAATTTATCAAACTATAACTATAAGATATAAAGCTAGGGTGTATGTACTTCTCAATATAGATTCTCGTCAATGTCGAGACAGAGAGAAAGAGAGAGACAGTTATAATATATTACATTGTACAGCACTTTCCTATAAGGTTACATTTTTTTCGAGTACTTCGCGACAACATTGGAGTAAAAATTCTATACTAAAACTTTCTCATACAATATTATCTCTTATGAAATCACGTTTAGTAGCGAGAGTTATAGAGATACTAATGTCATCGTCCGAACGCTCCGCAGTACTGCTATATGGCCTTGTAGCTACCTTATTTGTCACGTGTAAACGTGTAAAGAAAAATAGAAAAGATAGAAACTAAACTATTTTATTATTATAATTGGCGAGACACAAATGCGGGAGAGGACAATTTACAATTGAATGTTATTCGCGTGATATATAGCTTATTAGCTTAAGTACGTATCTGTACGTGCACATGTGTGTTGAGATCACGTTCTGGGGGGAGGGGGACAAAACGTCGAATTCGATAATTACTCGATTTGCTAAAAGGCAAATAAATAATTATCACATTTTTGTTAAAGTGATAAGCAGTTTCAGAGAAACAAAGTTAAACAGTTAATACATTCCACATGCGCACATCGTAACTCATGTGATTTTAATTAATATATTACTGAAAATAAGCCATTCCACAAATCATGACTCAATTTGCTTTTTTCTACTTTTTATACACACTTTACATAATGTATTTCAATAAGCGAAATCTCTTTCATTTCTTTTGATTTGTTTAGTAAACATAATGAAGAGAGATAGAAAGGGAAGGTGAACAATCGCCCAATATGTTTTACTTTCCAAAAGTCAGCGTGTTATTTTGTGTGTGATGACTTTCTTTTATTTGCAAAATACGCAAGTCAAAAACAAATTAGTTTTGGGATATATGTTGAGGAGATGAGAGCCACACAAAAAGAGATGCAAAGGCAAAGTTTTGACTGCGAATTTCAAAATCGAGATGAGAGAAGAAAAGTTGAATTTGTAAATGAATTTAATTGTATTCCATTTACAACACGTTGAATTTAGATTTTACGAGCAAAACGGCTATTTGTTTTCGCACGAATCATCCTCATACAGTGATAATAATCAAAGTATTAGATGTTATCTGTTAAACTATTAACTAACTCGAAAAAAAAAACAACGGCAGACTATATGTAACACAGGATTATATTGTGGTAACAGACCCGATATGCGAGATGAGACTTTTTGTAGAGGTACACACACTTATCGCGCGCGATAAGCGAACACTAGTGTGTAATTAGAAAATTTTTGACCATTTTGAAGATCGTAAAAAAAACGAACACATTTAAAAGTGTAGGTATTAGCAACGAAAATATAGATGTAATAACTACCAATGCGCAAAAAGAGAGAGAAAGAGAGAGAGAGAGAGAGAGAGAAAGAAAGAAAGAAAGAAAAAAAGAAAAAAAGAGATTATGGCCAAAGCAGCATTATTTTTTCACTAATTTATAACAAGGGGTAGGAAGAAGCGCCTGTGTATGTATTGTATATAAAATTGTTAAGCATTCAAAAATGTTTCCGAAGTCAAGATTATTCCGAAATGTATGTCATGTTACATCGCTATACATTATTAGCATAATAATTGTGTATTAAACAAAAATATATATATAATATGAACTATATATGTACATATATATACATATATACATATGTATATATGTATACGTATATAATATATATATATATGTATATATGTATATGTGTGTGTGTGTATATATATATGTATATTATATATTATATATTATATATTATATACTATATACTATATATGTATATGAAAAGAGTTCTCATTTATATTATCATCGTCATCATCGTCATACGCAAAAGTGCTTTTACTAATTGTATTTAAAAAAAAAAAAACGTACTTAATCAAATACTTTCATTAGTATTGCTAACGCTATTATTGTTATTTAATTTTACGAGAGTAATTCCCTCAAACACATTAGGGAGCATTGTCGAATATCTTTTTCTCTTTTTTATATCGTATATTTTTCTTTAGTTTCGACATAGAACTGTAAAACGAATGCGTTAGGATTATATAAACACCAAATTATACAAAGAATTTCTACACGTGGAAGAAAAGAAGTCTTTTATTTTTTTAAGGGGAAATAAATAGTGTTCGGTGTGTTCTCTTCGCCGGAAGAAACGAGAGGAGCCAATGAACGATCCTTATAATTTTTCACCGATTTATTTTTTCTACAAGAATAAAACGTCGTATTACAACTATCTCTATATGTATGTAAAAATTATCGCTATTTACATGTATTTAAATATATTTATGCAAAGATGTATACGTGTGTGACGTGTGGATGCGCATGTGTAATAAGATTCAATAATGATTATTTTAAGAGTTAAAAATATAAGACGTATATATATATATATATATATACACAATCATCTTTATTCTATATTAGTATACACAAAAAAGAAGAGAATCGATACTAATATATTATATATATATACATATTTATTATTTTCTACAGAAAGCGCTCTACAAAAGCTAAATGTATATTTATCTCTATGTATAATAATTAACCGTGTACTTTGTTTTGGCTCATTAAAGAGCAATTATGTATTTTATTCAATAATTGAATTCTATATACAATAGTTGATACAACTCAACGCGCGAAAGGTGCTGCAAAATTCTCAGTGTAATTTGAGTTTCGTGTGTAACGTCGCGAATTTTACGTGCACACATTAAATGTTATTGCAAAAACAAATTTTAACGTGAAAATACGAAAGATCTTGCACAAATTCTGCTGTACGTGTAATTGATCCTTTGAATTAAACTCGAAATGATTTCACGTTTGTGTTCAAGAGAAAATCCCACTTCTGTCATCAGAAAAGAAAAACAAAAAAAAGTAAATTTGTTGTCCAAAGACATCTTCTACTATATTGCATTAATTGTACACACATTTCTGTATAATGGACTGTACATTTTACTGCACAATAAAATTTGTGATTGATTGCTGCGAGAAATGATTTTCGTGGTTTCTTGCTTGTTTCTTTTCCAAAAATCCAAAAACTTGTCGAAATAATTTAAAATATCTAGTGTAAAATTTGTTTGTGTAAAAAAATCTGCGTTGTCGACAATTAAAAGGCCGTCGAAATACGTAACAAAACCTGAAACAAAGAAAAAGAAATTGAGTTTGCGGTAACTTGACGCATTATTTAACCATCAATTACTCTCGTAATTGACTTTCATATAGTGGCTTTGAATAATATCACGATACTTATACGCACATTTTAAGCAACAAAAGGAGAGCTGCGTTTTACACCGCAGACAAAGAATACATGGTTCCGCTGAATAATTTATGGGCGTATTCTATTTTGAAACTAAAACCCAGTCCTCAATAAAAAATGATTTATAATAAAATTTTATTTTTAACAATGTAATCGTCTCAAGCGAGACGTTTATTACGGAGAAACATCTTTACTGATAATCAAAAATGCGAGATTATTGCGTTAATCGTTAAATTGTTACAAATTTGCGTTATAAAAAAAAGAAAAAAAAAAACGCCGATTCATGTTCAAATTTCTTTTGAAAACAGCTGTTCGAGCGGCGATCTCGAAACGAGTTTCAAAAAACAGCGCGAAACATCAAAAATCGACCAATTATACCGCGTTATAATGCAAATAATATGGCATGTTATCCACATCCGTCACGTTGTTAAGGTGACTGGTTGCCCCTCATTTGCACAGTGTGAGCGCATGCGGCGTATGTGTCGCGACGACACACAGCTTCGTTCTCCGCGTTCCCGTTGTGTGTTGGCCATCACTCCGGCGATTTTTCCATTATTTACACAGCAGCACTGAGGGCCTTCGTGTTCAGTTCTGTGCGCGCGTAATCTCTGGTGCGTGGTGTTAAATCGAACCGCGGTAATCGCGTAAATACAAACGGGAAGAGACAAATTGCGTCACACGCGAAAAGTGCGAGAGCATTTCGCGCTTATTTGACACGAACAGGATGCCGCAGGATCCCGTGTGTTGGTAATAAGAAGGAAGATCGATTCCCCGCGATCTTTCTCTCTCTCTCTCTCTCTCGTTCTCTCTCTCTCCTCTCCGCGCGAAAGTGCCTTCTCAATCGCGCGATCTTCCCCGACGTCGTTTTTCATCGCGTCGCACACACACACACACACGCCATAATAAAAACTCGAACGGAATAGTGAGTGGTGTGGGTACGTACGTGCGCAGCACAAGGGAGGACCGTGAGAGACTCTTGATTGCGATTCTAACGAGATCTTACGAGATCGGAGCAAACAAACGACGAACACGAGAGAAAGCTCACGAGAGGTGCAACGAAACACCGTGCTTGCCGTGCTCGTCTCTTACTACGGAGTTTTGTGAGTTTCCGCATAATATTCTGTTTCGTAGTAGATGAAACACACGCGCTGCGACACCCGTGCGATGTGTCAGTGCGAGAGCTGGTGGTTAAGAGCTCATTGACATTTCTCTCTCTCTCTCTCTCTCACCACACGCACACACACACAGACACACATACTTTCTCTCTGTGTTGACGTTTTCTTTGTTTTTTTTTTACAGTTAACAGAATTTGGACTGTGCATCTCACCTCGAGAAGTTTGAAAGAACGACTGTTCTGATTTTTGTTTTTAATTCGTTACTTATATACGTTGTCAAATCGGAACATCGGGATCGAACTCGTTTCCGGAGGCCGACCATTTGACCATTTGAGGAATTGAGTCGAACGCGTACGGCGTACCAGTTGGTGCGAAGGGACGACCGAGAATTTTATTGACATTTAACGCCCTGGAAACACTGCGACGATCGTTCGAACAAACATCGGAAGAAAGAATCGGGGATCGCTCTCGAAGCAAAGCTTTTGCGAAGAAGAGATATTTTAGTTAATTCCGAAAAGAGGGAACGTGAGTGACGTGCCGTGAAGGTTAGAACGCCCGTCATTTGGAAGAAACGTTTTTATCGTGCGAAAAGGAGAAAGGGATCGATATGGTGACACGCGCGAAGATAACGTGCTAATTTTTGATACTTGTTCTTCTCGCGAATTTGCCGTGATGAAAACTTTAACTTAACGAAGCGTGCGGTTCGCGAAGGAGATGCGCGACGTTGTCTCAACGTTGATTCGTCAAAAAATCGTATGGTGTCAGTTTGTATAGCAAGTGGTTTCGTTTAGTTTGTCAATAAGACGACGACGAGTCTGAGTCTCAACAGAGAGTGTGATGAGTTATAACGGCAATAACAACAACAACAGCTTTCCTCGTAAGAGAGGCTTCGGTCCGAGAGGCGCGCACGGGAAAGGCATCTTCAGGTCCCGGTTCTTGCATCCGCCTCTGCGACACGTAGCGCCGCCACTGAGACATGGACAGCCCAGGCCATTGGGCTGGAAATTGAATAATGTATTTTATCCGCCCTTTCGTGGAAATCCAAAGTTCAGACCGCACAATGGACGTGGAAGGGGCATCGGTAATATCCGATTTCCTCCTCCCCATCGATTGCCCGTGCCTCCGAACTATATGTTCGAGGACGACATTATACTGGATGATAACGAGGAAACTCACGTTAATTCTACGCCCTTACTGCCCTTACCCGGTTCTGAGGAAGAACGACAGTTGAAGATAACCGAAGCCGCGGATCGTTTGAAGCAAAAGTTATCTTTTAGCAAGGACAAGGAACATAATATTCATAACGAGGATGATGTGCCTGATCCTTTGGAAGATGATTGTTTAAGAAACAACCAAACTGACTTTGACGTGACGTGCAATGATCTGAAAGATGAGAGAAACATAAATCCTGATAATTTGAGGCCTGATATTATACAACATCATGAAGCGGAATCTGAGGAATTTGCTGACTGCAGAAGAAACGACGTGATATTAAATGAGAACGAACATGGATCTCAGTTGGAAGAGACCAATGATCAAGTGAGAAATTTGGATGATTTCTCCGGGTACGAAGTAATTGACAGATGGGATTGTGACGAGTCAGTAGATAATTCTTGTAATTTAGAGCAATCGACGCTGTACCAAGAGAGTAACATAGTCGAGAGTAGGTCGTTAGATTTAAATCTTCAATGTCAGTACGACGAATCTTTGACCGACAATGTGCAAGATCAGTGCGGACAACAGCAGGATATTCCTCAAGATGTCTCTCATGAAGTACCCCAGGATATACTTCAGGACATCCCTCAGGATGTTTCTCATGATATTCCTCAAGATATTCATTGTCAAGATGTTTTTTGTCAGAACATTAGTCAGGACACCTTTCAGAATGTCTCTGAAGAGAATGAAGTCAATCCAACGGATGTCGTGATAGAACAACAAAGTGAATCTGAAACACCAATTGTGCAGGAGGTTTCTTTTTTACCTAATCCAATAGATCAGATTATTTTGCAGGACGAACAGGAGCCCGTTTTGAATCCGGAGAATCGAGAAGACGCTTTGAATTGTTGTGTCTACCCAGAAAAATCTGACTGCAATGATGATTGCACATTGGAGGATTGTACGTTGCCGGAATCTGTGCAAGTTGAAATTTCCGTGTTAAACGACGTCACGTCGTTAGACAATCAATCGTCAGGAATACATGACAATTCCTTCCACAGTGGACCACCGAACTTGTCTCCACCGGTAGACACCACCGAGCTGGAACTGCCTGCCGATTTTGATCCGACTACTCCGCCGCCGATACTTCTGAAGCAGGATCAGCCGCGCGCTTTGCCACTGCCTCTCGATTTACCGCCGTTGTTCAATCCTGCGGAACCGCCGCCAAACATGAGACATCTGATCGGACCAACGACCTCGCCTTGCGAGAACATGAATCATCCGTGGAACATTAATAATCAAAATCCGATACCTTACAATGCGGAATTAAATGTACACGTGGGATTCACGTCTCCGATGTCTTTTGAAATGACTAGTCCGAACAACGTTTATCTGTCGCCTATTGTTGGCGCGAACAACTTTTCCTCGTTTGTTCCTATGATGCCGAACAATCATCCGGTTATCAACGCGAATATTCCGCCTGTAATGCAACCAAGCAGTCATCCGGCCATCAACACGAATATTCCATCTCATATGCAAATAGAAATTCCAAATGCAGCTCCTCAGCTGCAAGTGGTTCCATTTGCGCAATTAACGGAACCTTCTGTTCCCCCGCCACCTCCCGAGGACAGCAAAGACGACGGACTTAACGACATGGAGGAAGCTATGAAGTTCGCGGAACAAATGACGAGTTTAACGGCGAGCAAACCGGAACAGTCGGAATCCAGCTCTCTTATCGAAAACAGTTCTGTCAACATTATTAGCAACATAGAGACCATAGAGTTGCCCCCAGAAAAACCGAAGACCAAGTCGAAGAAGCTCAAAAGAAAAACAACAGACGACACCAAGGTACCTGAAGAAAAAACACCATCGAAGCATTTGCCGTCGGTAGAAACTACAACGCCAGATGCGACCGAGAGATCCAAAGACTCGTCGCTGATACCTGACGACCATCGACCTAAAGTAGTGTTTAACTTAAATAATACATCAAAACTGGTACGGTCTACGATCACGCGTCAACAAGAGAGCGTCAACGAGACAGCGAATAACAAAAAGAGTTCGATACAATCCGTGGAATCGAAGAGAACGACGCAAGCGAGACCCTCGGTAAGTGACAGAAACTTGGAAAATACGAGACAAAATAAGGAATCGAATAGAAATTCGAAGAGACAGGAAAACAAACCGGATGGTAGCAAAGCGACCGCGAATCCGAATGTCGTGTCACGGAAGAAAAAGCAAGAAAACTCCGATTATGCGGAAAAATCATCTGGCGTCGCGAGCGTCGGTTCGTTGAAGAGTCGCGTGGCGGAGCAACAAGACGAGAGCAACAAAAGCGCGATCTCGGACACCACTTGGAAGGACAAGGTCATCAACCGACTGTTGAAGATGAGCACAAACGAGATCTACAACTTGGTGAATAATACTAGTCTCAGAAAGTTCAATCTCGTGATGAAGCGTCTAGTCAAAGAGAAGAAGTCCACGTTGTCGCTTGAGAAGAGACACGAGCAGGACGAGAAGATGAAGATGTACGATCGGCAGGAGTTTATCAAGCATCTGAACGCGATGCTGGACACCGACGCCGTCGTGTCCATTACGGATTTGCCCACGGAGTTCATACAGCACCTGAACGAAGCGTTGCAAATGAACGTGCAGACGAACTTTCAAGCGGAATCCGCCGCGTCGGCGGCGACGGCGGCGGCGGCGGCGGCGGCGGCGGCGGTCGCCGCTACGAGCGGTCAAAGTAGTCATTCGGACGCTGCGAATTATGTCTCTAATCCCACGACGCAAGTCGCGGAATACGCAAATAGAACAGCGCTGTCGGTCAACGATGTTGGTCAAGAATGCGCGAGAACTAAGAGCGACGCGAAAACGAGATATGCCGCCAGGGGCGCGAAGACGCGCAATTGTAAAAGTAATAACTCCAATTTACGAACCGACACGCCTCCTAATTCCTCCTCTGGCGCGCGGACTCTGCATGCTATTAAAAGTAACGACGTTTCCGCGAGAACTGATGTCGCAGCCGCGCGGGTGCAAGATGTTGTTATTAGAAATAACGTTAATCCGCAACATCAAAATGACACGTCGAGCATTGTCGCGTCTTCTTCCGATTCGATTTGCAACAATTTATTGAGTCTGCAGCATGATGTGGATGATATATTTTCAGAAGTGACCAAGAAGTATCAGCAGCCCGCGGATAAGAAGAAACGCGCGCGCTGCAGCACGTCCGACGACGGGACGGTTTTCGCTCGAGCCCAAGACAATTTCGATCAGAGTTTGACGCGCAATACGGAAAATTGCATACGCTGGCTCGAGGGTTGTGACAGATGGAAGAAAAAAGAACGGGAGGAACCGCGCTACAGAAATCTCACGAGGGAGGAGTGGTTGGCGAAATATGGGACTCAGGCCAATCCGACGTCTCCAGTTACGACAACGTTGACGACAACAACAACATTACCTACGACAACGTTGCCTACGACAGCCCAGGACACTGCCAGATTCGCGCACTTGTCAAAACAACAAACGAAAAAATATCCTCTTCAACGTCGCTACTCGTCGGAATCGTTAAGATTCAACGCGAGACAGAGCCGTTCCCTAGAACGTGACCAACAGACGCAACCGAGACGTCACAGTGATGAAAGAAGACACGTTGCGAGATGCTCGGAAAACGATCGCGACAGCAGCAGCAGCAGTAACAGCACAAGCGACAGCGGGAACAGCAACGACAATAATAATACGAACGTTACGAAATTGTTGCGGGTTATAAAAGAGAATGAGAAGGTCGCCAAAAAGAGGTCGCTGAACGAGCAGATGAGAGACGAGATAAACGCCGAGATCGAGCAGGAGCGCAAGAGAAAAGCGAAGAGATCGCGAAAGAAGAACAGTAAACACAAACGTGAGAAGAGGTTGCGTCACAAGAAGAAGAAGAGCAAGAAAGCGAAGAGCTTTACCAACTCTTCGGGATCGGACGAGGAGGAGAGCGAGGAGGAAACGCCGACGCGATTGCTGACGGCGGACGAGATCAAGAAGGAGGTGGACGATCAGCAGGTCGCTCAGCAGGTGATGATCAAGGAGGAGGTCGATATCGGTCAGGACGAGAATATCGAAACGACGTTCGCGAACGCGATTGGCAGCGCGATCCCGATGGAGAATAGACCGAGTACGTGTTTGTCGTCCCGCGGTGGCAGATTGAACTCCCCCGCCACGCGTGAAAATCCAGCGGCGACTATAAATACCGTACAATTACTTGTCGCCGAAGATAGACGACTGCAAACGACGCCAGCTTCGCCGACGACGAAGACGAAGGCGCAGCTTAAACAAATGCCAGAGACAACTCACAGAAATGAAGGCAAGATACGTCCGAACGTGTTCACCAGCGTGCCGCGGGACACGATAAGTGCGGCGAATCTGGCGGCAAATCTGGAGAAACCCTGTCCAACTGCGACGGTGCCCGTTCGCGACGACAATAAGATCGTCGACGTCCCGTCAACGTCGATCGCCAATTCCGGATTCGGTCGAAATCCCGACGTGACGATCGACAACAACGCGCAGGAATCCGCTCGAAATGCGACAGCAAAATTATTACCCGATGACGTGCGCGCTTCCGACCGTCGCGATGAGAAACGCGAACGAGCGTCGAGTGAATCGTCCGCGGCCGCTATCAACACCGAGGCCGATAACAAGATATGCGAACCAACTATCTCACTATCTGTTGCTGACGTTGCGTCGAGCGCGGAAGAGCCGACGATGATATCGATGGACGTGTCGGCGGACACGGCGAGTCAAAAGTCGAGCAAGAAGATCGATCTGAAAACGTATTACGAGCGCACGATACGACGTCGCATAAGCGAGCAGAGCAAGAAGAGAAACGTGAAAAACGAGTCGATCGATGAAAATCCGGACGTCGAAACGGAAACGAGCGAGTTGTCCGCGGCGACAGTTCCGCAACGCGACAATTCGTCAAAATCGAAACGATCGTCGGAAACGAAAGCTGCTCCAACGACGAGAAAAAAATCGAAAAGTCCGGCCGATGCCAAAAAATTCATCAACATTCGATCGGAAGGGAGCAAAGAGTTGAGATTAAAAAGATTATCGAATCCGATCAAGAAGGGGAAAAGAAAGACCGCGTCGAAATGCGCGACTAATCCCGTCTCGACGGATATTAATAATTCGTCTTTGCAAGAAACAACAGAAACAATCGGAGATACGACAAAGACGGAAGATAAAATGGAAGAGAAAACGATTGATGAAAAAGAAATCGATAATATTGATTGTCACGGTAATCACATTGATAGTGCGAACAACAATGCCAACAGCAATGTTGATAAGGCGGTCGAGGTGCAGGCGAGTAACAACGATGGCGGTGCCGCGATAAACGAATTGTCAACAAATTGTTTGGAAAAAATTATCGACAATATTGACGATCGCAAATTATTATCGCGCGATTTGGACGATAAGCCGGAAGAATGCTCGGCGACGAACAAAGAGAAGGATGTGGTCGAACAAAGAAACGTCGACGATGCAGATAATGTAAAAAATAATAGCGAGCAACCGTTGGTCGAAACGGCGACGCGGGAGAGCGTTGAGGAGACGACGTGCGCGGGAAACGACGCGGATCAACGACGCGCGGCAAGTGGTTGCGAAGTCATCGCGGATGGGGAAACTCGGAAAGACGAGGACGACGCGTCGACGACGACGGCGACGACGACAACGACGACGACGACGACGACGGCGGCGGCGACGGCGACGGAATCCAACGTTGTCGTTGACGACGAGAGCAAACCTTTGCAAAAGAATCCTCGAAAATTGAAGAGAAAAAATTTGATTCCGTCGAGTCAAGCTCAGATTGAAAAATCGAATAATCATCAATCAGACACAACGGAAAATAAAAACGCGACCCCTCGATCGACCCGCGATATCGATTCGCAGAACAAAGAGAACCGGGAATTGATAAGCGCTTCTGCGACGAGCAATATCAACAACAAGGAGGTCAACAATGCGAAACCGATGATTTCGAAGGACGTCGCGACGTGCAACAAGCCCGCGAGTAAAAACGATAATAATTCGTTGGTGAAGAAAGCCATCAAGATGTCGAGCGAAAATGTTAATCACGAGCATCAGGGCGCGGCGACGAGCGCGGATAATAACCCTGAGGTCTTGTCACCGGAGAGTTTGGCGAGCAACCCGTTCAAAGGTTTTCTCCAGGAGCCCGTGATGGATTTCGAGCAATCCGGTTTGTTCAATTTCAGTCTGAACGAGATCGACACCGATAAGAGCAAACTGTTTTTGCACGACAACAGTATAAATTCTATCGTTACGCAAACCGTGAATTCCACGATGATGAAACTGGAGCGACCGCGGGAAAATTACGACGACGAGATACCGACGGATTACACGGAAGATGTGGATATTGGCACCGGTGAGAATTTTAATATCGGTTTCAGCAGCGACACTTTACTCGCCGCGGATAAGGAGTGCGCGACAAGCGACGAGAAACCCGACGCTCTTACGGATGCTGACGAGTGCGGCGAAGTGGTGGCCGCGATAAAGTCACCGAGCGAGATAGTCGGAACCGCGTCGTTGCACGTTGACGAGAACAACGACGCGAACAGCAGCGAGACGGACAAGCAGCTAACGCTCAAAGATTGTTTGTCGACCGCGTCTATGTTCGTCAACGAGGACAACGACGAGGAATTGTCGATTCGGGACGCTAGTCGTATAAAAAATCTCAAGAGCAAACTCAAGACCGCGACGGATCCGAGTCTGTCCGACGCGTTGGACACCGCCGCGGTTTCGGACGACAATCTGAGATTGACGGAGACGACTCATCAGGTCGCCGATCATCTAAACAATCCAATGTATCTCGAGACGGACGCGTCTTCCGAGAAAACTTGCGACAAACTGCCGGATTTCGATTCCGACGCGCAGCTCGACAACATGTTTTATCTGGACGAGCGTCTGCCGAGCGCGACCGAGTTCGACAACAAGGACGACGCGTCCTTTCCGGTCAATCCGCCGAGCCCCCCTCAGTACGGTCTCGTCCCGGCTGTTATCCCGCCGGAAATGACGACAATTACATCATGCGGAGGAATGTTATCGCCTGACGAGGTGCGTAAGACCGAGCGTTACAACCTGAAACCGGCCGATAACGATTTAATGATCGGCGCGCCGGCGGCGGGTCATTCCCCGGCCGGAGCCGAGGAGACGAGAACGTCGTCGGTCATTCCGACGAAAGCCGCTCTGAAAGAGGTTGTTGCGACCAACGACTTTGCGCGATTGCCGACCAACCTATCGGCGGAGAGAGCGGCGCTCGAAATGTTCGAAAAGGAGGGGACGAGCGGGGGGGAAGACGTCGTAGCTCCGAATTACCAAACATCGGCGCTACCGGCGTGGCACGTGAGCGAAACGCGCACGGACGCACGAGAGACTCACGTTAACGCGGATTTTGTAAACATAAACATGGTGTCATCGACGCAAAACAACATCAAGATCATCGACGAGTGCGCGCGTAAGAAAACGAGTGTAAACAACGACGGGAATGAACCCGCACAACCGACGTCCTCGGTTAACGTTGCGGTTAACAAACTTTTTAATTTGCAACGTAAACCGGTTGTGGAACTGACGAAGATGAAGGAGGTCGAGAATTTGTTGCTTCAAAAGAAAAGTGGTGCTGGAAGATGTGAGAAAAAATACGGCTCGAAGGAGCAGCGCGATGGACACAAGCGTGGTGCCGATTCCGCTCTGCACCGATTGAAGGACAAGTTGTCAATGAAGAATCGTTCGGGCAAGACGAGCGAGGACAGTTTGATGAAGAAGCTCAAAGACATGAAAAAATCGAAAACGCCGGGCGGTAACGCGAGAGAAACGATACTGGCCAGAATGTTGGAGATCGACATGAAGATACACAACTTGATGGTCGAAAAGCTCAAGTTGCACGAGTTGCTGCACGGCAACGACGCGTCGTTAACGGGAGTTAATGACGCGTCGCGTTCCGTGGCGAACAACACCGCCGCGGTGACATCGGTCATCACCGCGAGAGAAAATAATACGATGTCCGTCCAGTCTGGAACGTCGCCAATAACACAATTATCACCGAACGCCGAGACGACAACAAACCGTGCCAAACAAGATAAACACTCGTCGACGTCTTTATCAAGACGATCGTCTAGCAAGCAGAGAAAGAGAAACATATCTCACAGTTCCGAGGAAGATGAGATCGCGAACTTCACGCACAAGTCGAAAATGCCCGTGATCAAGTGGAAGAAGAAACCGCGATTGGAACTGAATAGCAGCAGAGGACGCAGGGATGACGACGAGGACGACGAGGATGACGACGTAAAGACCAAGGAAAAGGAAAAAATGAACGCGAAAACGGAGCGGCGAGTCGCTCTGGCTCCTTCGCAGAAAAAACCTGACGATCCGGTTGACAACAGGTCCAAGAATAATCAGGAGTCTGAATCGAGTTCTGTTTTGGATGTTCGCGACGCGCGAACGCAGGAACCCGCGGCGAAGATCGACGATAACGTCGTCGACAAGACGCCGCCCTCGACGTGCGCGAGCAAAAATCTTACGCCGGACAAAACGAACGCGGACAATCGTTCGGAGCGACCGAATTCGGTCGAAAGGGAAGAGACCGAACATGTAGACGTCGACAAGAGAAGCGAGACTCGAACGCCGAGCGAATGCGCGAAGACGTGCTCGCGGCCGTCGAGCAGACAGGTGCACAGCACGCCGGAACCCATATATACCGACGACAGCACCTGGGATTCCATGGTGCAGAACACCGTGTCGGAGACGCACGAGAATCGCAAGACGATATCGCCTCTCGTTCTGCTCGACGAGTCGCTGAAGAAGGAAATGGCCAAGTCGCGAAAGATGAAGGCGATGATGCGCAAGAAGAAGAAGAAGCAACTGGACATTTTTCTAAACTCGGTCAACAAACTGACGGAGGAGGAGGAGGAACTGCCACTGTCTTGTCTGTACATAAGAAAGTTGCAGCAAAAGCGAGATTTGCTCGACTCGCTCAGCGACAAGAAGAAGGACACGAAGGACCGGACGAAGAACTTGGACGAGGCGACAAACGCCGTTCAAACGGATAAAGCGGAGGAGAATCCGCAAGAGGAGAATCCGCAAGAGGAGAATCCGCAAGAGGAGAATCCGCAAGAGGATAAGCCACCTCAGCCGGAAGCGCCCGCTCCCAACGACATCTCAACATCTAACGTCTCTTCTGTGTTACAGCCGAGTCATCAGTTTTGCATCGACGCCGAAGCGAACGCCAATTCGGATTGGCCGTCATCGGAGAAAGAGAACGTCGGTGAGGTTGCACCGCAGGATAATAACGATGCTAACAGTAGCTCGGATTATGTTTTCAGATCCGTGAGCCAGAACAGAGTCACCTTCCAAGACGAACGTAATATGGAGCCTGACAGCAGCGTGACACCGGAAGACACTTTAATTGAAAAACATTCCGCAGACAACGAGTTGATCGAGAACTCGAGAACGCGATCAGGCTCTATGTCGCGCGATGATCGTTCCAAAGATCGTAATAAAATTCCAGATATTAAAGTATCTGTACCCAAAACACTAATAGACGACGATTTCAGCGTAAGATTGTTGCAGAAATTCAAGGAAACGGAGACCGGTGTTGATTCTACGTCTTCGAGCGCGCTTCCGGCGAACGCTGAGAAGGTGGAAGAGATTAATAAACAATCAGAGATTATATTGGAGACTGAGACTAAGTCGACGGATAATAACAAGAGCGAAGAGGCGAAAGAGACGGATTTGATCGAGGAAGACAAAGACAAAAATGAAGATTCGGCAAAAGATCCTAGTCCCGCTGTCGAGGAAAACACATGCGCGTTGCAAGAAAAAGAGGCAACCGATGATGGTACGAAAGACGTGCCGTCCTCGGCGCAATCGGTACAGCTCGATTATTCGGAACCTGAGAAGGAAACTAGTTCCACCGACAGCGTCGAATCCAACGAGAAGATGGATCCAACGACGGACGCGGCGCGCGACTCGCACAACACGGATGTTATCGCAGAAGAGACGGAGCCGAAGAAATCGGATGCTGAATCCGAACAGTCGTCAAACGACGACGCGATCGCCACGAAACTGGACGAACAAAATATGGAAGTCGCAACTGCCGAGCAAGAGGAAAGGATCGACTCCGATGATGTTCCCGCATCGTCCGAGAAGATTGTTCCAGAAAACAGCGGTGATATTGTTCCAGCTAGCGACGAGAAGATAGACGAGACAGCTGATACGCCCGTCGAGTCAACGTCTAGTCTAGAGTCGACTTCCGCTTCTTCGCTTAAAGAGATCGGAAAAAACGAGGAAATGAATAAAAAGCCTCGTCGAAAGCAAGCGACGTCAGTGCCGACTCGAAGAAGCCACAGACATATCAGTGAGAACGTTAAGCTCACCAGAACGGGTTCTACCGAGAGCTCAGAGTCCAAGGGCAAAATTTCGCGGAGAAAGAGAAAACACACCGAGTGGCAAATGATGAACTGCAAAGTGAAAGTGATCGATTGTAAATATACGTTTTTGAAACCGAACGTCAGTTCGAGACTTCTCGAAAAATACGGATTAATTCACGTTAATTCTTATCCGTCTGATTCTTACAAATTACCCGCACAACGCGCCGTATCGCACGGCGATCATCCCGCTTTGATGGTCTCGGAAGACGATTCTTCCCAGAGCGCGTCTTGCGACAAAGACATATCCGAACTTGAGGTTTTAGAGGAAAAGTTGATTAAGAAAACTGGCGATAGTAATATCGTTCAGGAACCTGCTTTGCACGCGGCGACGACCGACGATCAGCAGGAATCAATGAGAATACAATATAATGATCACACCGGTCCTATTCTGGATATTAAGGTAAAAATCTCATCATCGTAAAAATTATATTGAAGCGATTCCATCATATACTGTGGGTATATGTGCGAATTAACACATACGTTAGATATAAACTGTTTCTTTCTTTTCTTTCTAGGTTTTTGAAAATTCTTTTTTAGCGGCGAGCGAAGACGGCAAAATATACAGGTACAGTCGAACGTCCGACAGGATATTAAACATCTACAAGGGTCATAAATCTGCAGTGACGTGTCTCCACATTAACACCGACGCCATGAACAAGAAGTTTGTGTATTCCGGTTCATTGGATGGCAATCTGCGTTGCTACAATATTATGGTACGACCAAGTGGTTGATCCTTCGCTTTAAATTGTTTTTATTCGACCTATAATAGGTTTTAATTTATTATTGTGTTAAAACCCGATGGAAGAAAAAAATAAAACATTTTTTTTTTTCAGACTGGTGAATTGATGAAGAATTCAGTGCAGATAAACAGTGCCATTCAGTGCATGGACGAAGCTTGGGGATTGATTTTTATTGGAACCAAGTCCGGAAATGTTTCCCGTTTCAATATCAAAGTAAGTTATTTTGTTCACAAATTCGACATGGATTTTTAATGGATTTAAAAGTATATCATACAAGTACAAAAAATCATATCATATATAATTTTATTTGCACGTAATGTATTTGTTAGTGTCTATCGGTGAGAGTCAAAAGTGAGTATACACTTTTACAAACATGAGGTATAATATTTACGGATTATAGTATGAAGATTAAATAATAAAATGGTGGTATGTGTGATATTTTTGTGGCATTTCAATCATATATGGAGACGTATTTTAGTAATTCACATTGAAATGTTTGTGAAATGTGTGAGTTTTTGAATCAATTCTGTATTTTCAAGTTGTCACTCACTTTTGGCTCTCACTATACAATCCTTCGCGAACAAATATGAGTCTTCCAGATCCATTCCAAAAATTGCGCATCGGCGTCTCTAGTAAAAATATAATTTTTTTAAACGCTTATATCTTTGAAAATACCAGAGATTTTTTCAATTGTTTTTTTAATCAACGCAGAATTGTTCAGACTTTCGATAAAAAAAAAAGTTGAAAAAAAATATTGATTTTTCGCGAAGATATTCAATTTTAAAGTCAAAAGGATAACGCATGACATATATTTGTTAATTATTTTTGTTTGCAGGCCGGTTGCATCAAAGGAAGCAATATACACTTTTCGGAAATGTCCGTGCTCGCGCTCAAGGCGACGAACGAGGGTTCGCGAAGAATTCTCATTGTGGCGTCCCGAAGTCAACCGATAACGATACGGGACGCACAGACCGGCTTATTCCTTCGCACGATTAGCAGTCAGAAAAATCACACGGTTTACAGTTTGATGCGCCATCAGGGCTTGATCTATTGTGGTACAAGCAGCACGTCGATAAACGTTTTTGATTTCACGGTGAGTAAATGACTGCTTCTTTTGTTGCGTTTCTTTTTTTTCTTTTCTTTTCTTTTCTTTTTTTTTTTTTTTTTTTTTTTTTTTTTTTTTTTTTTTTTTTTTTTTTTTTTTTTTTTTTTTTTGTAAGAGACAAAGAAATCGCAATTTGAAATCTTAAAATCTAATTGCAGACTGGCGAGCAGACAATTCAATACAAAGCCGGCGTCGGCATTGTGTGTATGCGGCTGCACAAACAATTGCTATTCGCGGGATGTTACGATGGCAATATTTATATTTTTGATACGAGGGTAAGTGATATCCTTTATATGTTCTCTTATGTTGTTAACTTTCTTGTTAACTAATCGAGGTGAAAGACCCAATTACTGACAATGTTACTGTCAATCAAAATTTAGATTAGATTTTTGAAAATATGAAAAACTATATTTTATAGTCTGATACTTGATGCTTTCGCGGTGTTGTTGTATCAACATTCGAGAATGTTTTTCGGGTTTGAACCGCGTTAGTGTAATTCTAATACGGAGATTTTTGTGAACATTTTAGCTCACTTCATCAGAGTTTCAAGAGCAGCCTGACATGAAGTCTGAGCTGAAATGTTCACTGAACGTCGGTATAAAAATGACACTAACGCGGTTCAAACCCGAAAAACATCCTCGAATATACGTTAGAAAACATTTAAACAAAATGTTCAACAAATATTGTTACAATGAATAAATAACAATGAAACCAGCGTAGTTCTCATATTTAATAAATCGTTTAAACTTCGATTGACAATAATAGGGACACTGTCAGTAATCTTTTACTTCACACGATATATATTTGCATTATTCTGATCTGTTTGCAGAATCACAAATTAGTGTGCACTATACCAGGTCCGGGAAATATGCTGCTAAGTATAGAAGTAATAGATAATAAGGTTAATAAAATTTTTTTACTCGAATCTACATACGTGTCTTATTATTTCACTATTTATCTTGATGTTTTATCGACCTTTCAAGTTCTACTGTTCTCTTTCAGATTATAGCAGGAAGTAAAGACAAACGTTTGCACTTGTGGCAAATGCCGACCGAAGTATGTGCCTTACTTTGAGATTACGAGACAAAACTGTTCAAAGGAATCATCACTCGTGCCAGGTTTTCTACTCGTACATTTCGCTTTTAAGATAGACGTACTTTAGTTAAAGAGACAAAAAGACAAATTTAGTTAAAGAGAGAGAAAAACAATTAAAATAGAGACTCTTTTCTGGTCTCTTCTATTGTCGTGTAGCGAAGCGTTTTCTGCGAGAAAATAACAGAAATTATACTGGAATAAACATTGTAGTACGTCTAGATGCATATATATATATATATATATATATACATATATACACATGCATATATATACACATATGCATATATATGTATATATCACATGGCTGAAAGATTGATTGTGTATATCTGTGTCTTTATCTCTTAAATAGCTTTAGGCCATTGTTATGTTTATTGTTTTACATTCTTTATCATTATCATTTGATAATATCATCTTACATACAGGGTGCTAAAATGATCATTACGACTGGTACTACATATAGTACTATACGACAGCGTGTACGAACTTTCTAAGAACTTTTAGTGAAAAATCGTGTGTTGTTAATTAATATCGCTTACTTTTAGCCGATAGAGACTAGATGATCATAATGCTACACATTATATATAATATAGTACGTATATTATATATATATATACATATATATATATATACATATATACATATATACATATATATATATATATGAAAAGTACAGTTGTATTAAAGATATACAGTTACTGAAGACTAAGAAGAAAAAATAGCTAAGCGTGCGAAGCGAAGAATAAATTTCTACTTTATTCGAAAACGCGCGTTGCAAAAATTTAATCTATGCGAATGAGCAATTTCTCACAATAAGCAATTGCAATAATGTTCTTTAAAAACATGAGACTGGAATAGTAATACTTCACGATAGTTAAATATGAATTTCGTAACTCTAACGGTGTATATCTGTGTGTGCGTGTACACATTTGTAACATGATATTTCGTTTTTATTATCATGCAAAAGATCTGCTATATCGTGTTCCTACGAGACGTTATGAGACTCTACCGTACGTACATCGCAATATCGTATCATTTTTTTTTTCTTTAATATTGGATTGGTCAGAAAGTCTTTTCGTATTTCAATACGAAAAGACTGACCAATTTCAATACGTTTACATTATAATTTATAATTTATATAATTGTGTTTATACGTGTATAAATATATTATATTTTTTTCACATTTTTTCCTCACGTAATTTGTTACACGCACGGTATCAACACACACATACACATATATATATTTATATATCTATATATATATATATCTTGCTGCAATTAAAACATCTGTTGTAAATAAGAAACTGTACCAAAAAAACACTATGTGACAAGCCACACATGTGATATAATTAACAAACAAAAAAAAGACACGCGAAATCAAAGTGATATTCGTGTTGTGTATATGCGTGCGCTATAAAGAATCACATAAGTTTATATATTACTTAATCAAATAAGTATCATTAATCGTTATTACATTGTGTACTTATCGACTGGATGTACATATTCAATATTGTCAACACCAAAACTGTCTCATAATAATATTGTATTTATAAACGTACGCAGTATACACTTGCTGTCTATACATATATATACACATATATATATTTATGCGAAAGCTGTGGGAGATATATATTGTTAGGATATTACTTAGGATAACGATATTTGATACCTTTCTTCGTACGTAAAGTTTTCGATTAGGATAATACACACACACATACACACACACACATATATATATATACGCGTTGTATGTATATATTTTCTGTTGTTTTTACACATGAGTTGCAGACGAGATGTCACGGATGTACGCAAGACGAAAAAGATTTCCACACACACATAGTTCCTTATTTCTTTTATTATATAATTTTTTTCTTTGTTTTAAAAACATTCAATGTTTAGAACTTGTAAAGACATCGTTGGCACGGGATAACATGTGCACAAAGTGAATAAAATATATATATATACATACATATATATATATATATATTTTTCGTATTCACATAAAAATTTATTCACACACATTTAAAAACAAAAAAGTATAAAATACCTATATTAAAAGTGTAAATATATTATTAAGTTACAAAAACAAATGTATATAAAGATATATATGTATAGAAAAGTGTTAGAGATCTTTGTATTGTGCTGATGTCTTTTAACAAGTAAGTTATAGATATAATTTGTAATTAAGGCGTTTAATCGCAGAATTGAATTAAAATTACTATATGTAGAGTGCATAAAAAATTATATAGAATCAACAGAACAAACGGTAAGAAACCTGTTTAGGAATCAAACTTTTCAAACATTATATGCTTTTAAATTTCGAAACTAGTGCCAAAAAAACTTGTAAGTTAAGAAAATAGTTAGATTATCTTTTTAATTTCTATCGACAATTTACTTTTATATGGAATAGTTTATTCATTTATTAAAAAAAAAGTTTTTAGTTTCTTAAATGAGAATTATTTTATATCAAACTTGATGCAGAATTATTAAACATTCTCGATCACTGTGTGATTTTTATTGAGAATTCTGCAACTACGCGCCTTAATCGATCAAAGGATGTTATTGACGAAACTTATGTCTCATCGCTACGATGAACCTGTTAAATCAATATTAGTCTGTTGGTCGTTGTAACCCATCTCAAAAAATGTCGCGGTGTCTATGTTGGCGTTAGTTGAAAAATAAATTTAGTACATGTTTCGTCGTTTCAGCACATAAAAAAGTTAAATAATAAACAATACTTTAAATACGGATAGAAGATGTGTCTCTGTCTTGGACCGGTCAAGTCGGGCAAAACCTTTCTGATGAAGAGTCTTCAGGGAGACGACATCGACGACGCAACTCATAGCGTGTCCACCAACGGGATTAACTTATTTACCGTGAAAAACGAGACCGGCGAGTTCGACATGGTGATCAAAGAGATCGGAGGTAACATGGCGCCAATATGGAAGCATTACTTTGACAAGGTATTTTTGTTGCGAAACAAAAAACCGCATTACGTGAACTAACTCGCAATGCTTCTTTCGAGTTTTCTGATGTTACAACACACATTTGTTTGTTTGTTTTTTTTCTATTGTTGCCAGATTCATAAAATCATTTACGTGATAGACACCAGTAATCTTTGCCAAATAAGTGCGGCCGGTGTCCTGCTCTATTCCTTTCTCGTAGATCCGCGTTTGCGAAACATAAAGATCGCCCTTATATTGAACAAAATGGACGTCTCGTATCGTCAGATGAGGAACGAGGCTCTACTGATGCTGCAGTATGTGCGTCTGCAGAAAGAGGTGACACAGAAGATCACCGTGCTGGAAACCAGCGGGATGACGGGTCAGGGAATCGAAGAACTCCGTGGCTGGCTATTCGATCCGGAAACGCTTCAGGCCACTCTCAACGCCAACAAATAAGCTAGCGTTGTTTTAGCTTCAAAAATGCTCCGTTACTTTTATTTACACTTACAGTCTTACAAAGATATATAAAGTTACTACAAACCACACTCGTGATTGAAAATAAATCCATGCGAATGAATGTTTTACCCTATTACATATTACTTCGCTACGTTCTTAATGCAATTCTACAAAATACTGCTCATCGTAAGTGGCAACGTGCGGCAAACACAAAAGGGAATCTCTTATTCTTGTCGCCGTGTAGTATTTAATCATCACGACGATCGGAAGCGAGAAAATTACCAGCTATAAATATTTTAATTATATCGTAGGAATTTCAAGTGTATTTTTTTTTCTCGTGTCCGAGCGTCGTAACGCAACGTGACCGCGACAAGTACTCTCAACATGTTTGACTGTCACGGCGTATATATAGTTTTTTCGTATTTTCAGTTGCACGCTTTCGAGACGAATTTTCTTCTGCTCGATCTCCACTTATTTTTGTTATTGTCTGCGCAAAAATTTAGAGAATTACGTCACAAAATTACCAGATAGAATAGCAGAAGTATCAATGCAAATTAGCAATAAAACAATTTATAATTAACAAAGGTATAAGGTATGGTATTGCAGTTCTGTGAGACTATGAATGAATAGTGCGTGGCAGGTAACATGTTGAAAATGCTGGAATATCTGTAATACACTTTGCACACATGTGTGATTGCGAATCTAAAGATTTGTAAGCAAGTTCTTATCACACGCGAAGTGTAATAAGGACTTTTGCAAGTTCTTATTATTCTTTTGCGGCGATGGAAATAATAATGTAATGTAAAAATTGAACGTTCGCGCTTTTGTTTGAATTGTCTTTTGAGAACATCTATATCCCTATTGTTATTACAATCTTTTCACAAACATAAAAATTTAAAACAATGCTTGTATAATATATAGTATATTTAATGTATCCTTGTAAGATCCTCTACTATTTTTACAAGATCGTCCACCGTTGCTTCCTTCTTCATGCCGCTACCATCATCGATCTAAAAATAAAGAAACATGTAATTATAAAAGTAAATGATTCACGAGAAAATACAAATATATAAACACAACATTGGTAAAACATTGATCGAATTACCATAACGCCCATAGCAACTTCCGCCATTTTGTCATGATTCAAATCGAGGAAACTCTCTATCAGATCGCCGTCTATAAATCCCTCGCATTGCTCTATCTTCAAATCCGTGTTGAAACTTCTCCAGAAGTTGTGCTCGATTTTGCCTACACTTTTTATCACACTGTTCAGTCTATCCTCCAAAGTGCGCAGAAACTCGTAAAACGCGAACGGAATTTGCGTCACCAAGCCAATGGCCCCGCTGACAGTTCCGAACAACACGCAACCCATGGTGGGTGTACTCGATTCTCCTAGATTCTGCATCACCAGCGAACCGTGTCGGAAGACATTGACCATGTCGCCCAAGTGAAATTGGCCAACTTCCTGCATTTGTTGCCGCTCGTCTTCGGAAGTCGCGGCGCTGAAAAAAAAAAAAAAGGAAAAATCATCATTAATATTCTAAAATCGTTTTCTCTCATTAAAAATATCGAAACAGATCTTTTATAGTAAACACACACCTGTCTTTCTGGCAAACGAAGAGATTGAAACAATTTTCAGCACCTAAGAAAGTATCATCATCTAGTATTTCAATAGCTGTCATCCAATTTGGATTGTAGTCCCTAGCTATTTCTTCAAAGCTGCCTTCCATGGTTTTATATTGCAACAGAGTGAGGGATCTCATGAGATCTCCCACTAAGACAAAATCACCTTTGGTTTTCAGATAGAGAGCAATTATATTGTTGAAGTGCGAACACTCTAGCCTGAGTTCCTTTTCGGCAGTCCACTCAAACAATCGCACCGTACTGTTAATGCTTGCGAGTAGCTTTCCATTGAATTCTACTAATGAATAGCATGAACCTTTAATCTCTTTCTCTGCAACTTGAGTCAGCTTCCCATCGCTCCAGTGGTACAGCAATATTCTTCCCATCTTTGGTTCGGTCTCGTCGGGATTGATAAAGGCAGTGCCAACCACGAAATAAGACGTAGGATCTTCACCCAATCTTGTAGAGATCAAGGATAAAGCGTATTCCGTAGGCATCAATGTATGCGCGTGCAATACCTCGAAAGTGTGCTGATCAATTATAAGAAGATTGTGCACTTCGATTTCCTGGCCGATCTCGCTGGCCGTGTGTCCACTCGGTTTATTATGCGACGCGATGTGACTGCTGCTTGACGCCTGGGTGGATGCGGACGGCCTGACGATGTTCACGCCGCTGCTCTCCTGCACGTCCACACGCATCGTAATCACGCCAAAGGTTTGCGAGCTCTCCTGATAAGCGATCCGTCTTGGTGATTCTCCGAGCGGGACCGTTCTTATGTGCAGCTTTTGAATCTCGTCGATGGTGCCGATCGTTACCGTGCTATCGGTCGCCAGAGCCAGACTGTCGGGATACGACTCGGCGTTGAGCGAGCACATGTGATTCACCTCTTTCAAATTAACGTTGCTAAAGACGAGTTTGTGATTTGATGAATAAATAACAGTAGGTCTGTCCGAACAGGCGAATACGTTCGTCGTGGACAGCGACCTAAAAGTGCGCAGGACTGTAGGCTGCGTTCCTAAGGTGACTTTTTTCTTGTCCGTGAGAATACCGGATTGTCGCTGCAGAGTGAAATAATACATGCTGCCGTCGCCCAGAGCGCACAATAAGTACGTGTTACCCTCAAAGCAAGTCATTAATATTGATCTTGGGATGATTTCTCCGCCAAGGAGTTCTTTGTTGATCTGATCTAGAGTTGGTAGCGTTAAAATGCGAACAGATATGTCTGTCCAGAGACCAACGGCGACGATCTTAGCCTCGCTGAGACCGTCCAAGGACGAGATATCCAGACACGCTACCTCATGCTCCAGAGTAGTAAATCCTTTGGCTACAATTTGATTGCACGTGATCTCCATGTAGAAAAGATCATTACCGGTAGCGCACAGAAGTTGAGTGCCGTTGCAGGCGACCACGCTGATGGTTCTCTTGTTTTGCGGTTCCCACTCGGAGACGACCATTTTGCTCTCATGCGAGATCAATCTGGCGGACGTAGGAGTGACCTGTATAAATAAATCGTTGGTCACATTGCCCGTGTGAAACGTTTGCTCGTCCGCGACGAAACCCGGTATATCGGTTTCCTCCACTTCCTCGCCGTTCAGAGTCAAGATTCTGGTCTGTCCGACAAACGACAACACCAACGTGTTGTCGAAGTTACCGCCGCCGACCTTGAGAGCCCACATGCCCTTGATGCCCGGCAGATCGATGCTTGCGTGCTCCTGAATACCTATGCCGTTTCGAATGATTCTGAGAGAACCCTCTTTGAAGGCACCCGAGCATGTAACCATTTGTCCCTGCCCTTGTCTTTCCAAATCCACTACGGCCATATCGACAATTGGCGCCAAATTGGTGAAGGTCTCCATAGGTACGCAGTAAGATCCGTTTTCGTCCGCCTTGGTGATCAGTTTGATCAGCTGAGAATCTCCTAGACGACTGCCGACGTATATCACGCCATTATCCAAATAAGTTATGCATTCCGGTATACTAATCTCACCCAGTAATTCTACTTTTAGATCTTTTACCACGTGCGATCCGTCGGGCTTCTTTTCTACTTCTAAAAATAACATAAACAGATGACCGGCCATATCGCCCAGTAAATATCTTAGTCCTTGAGTATCCACTTTAGCGTAGCAGGTGATGGTGCTCTGCTTAATAATCGGTGGCACAATGGTAACATACGTGGTGCCATCGTGATACAAAACGCTCTCTTGTCCTATTATAATAGCGCCGCAAATAGGAGACGGCACAGGAATTACCATCATGGCTTCTCGTTCTACATTATCTTGTCTCCAAGGTATCTTTGAGAATTCTTTTTCTCTCAAGTTGATCTCGTGCGTTTTAACGTGTCTGCCGTTGATGTCTTGATGAATCAGGATTAAAGTGGGGTTAGCACATCCGTATAAGAAATTTACATCTTGCACCTGTTGCTCGTCCATACGAATAGAGGACGCTTTCAATTCGGGATTATCTTTGTCTAAAGGTATGATCTTGAACAGTCCATCGTACAGTCTGAGACCTATTACTCGCGACTTCGGATCAATAACAGCCTTGATTCCAGTTTCTGATGCCTTTCCAATTCGATCAGCTACATTTCCATGTGCCTTTGTTATTATTTCAATGTCTTCTCCTTCCCCAATGCATTCCAAAATCATAGCGTTGTAACGTGTTGTTAACAAAAATAAGAGGTCCTTGTTCTCATGCTGTCAGACAAACAAAATTAAACGTTTGTGAAATCAAACTTGTACCATACAAAAATGGTCAACTCACACCAATACAAATAGATTAATCAACATATTCTTGTTTGATGAATAAAACATTACTGAGAAAATATCAATAAACAATCAATATAAACGCTGACAAAATTTAATTCCTGCAAATTGCTCGGAATTGGAATAGCAATTTGTTTTCAAAACTTGTACACAAAAAAAACATAATAAAATTGTCGGCAAGTATGTCTCGTACATATAATTGAAAGGCAAATCTACACGTAAAGATAACCTTACCGCTGGCCTGAAAAACTTGATAACGGCTATTTTGCCGTAGATTCCGACTTCCTTCAGAGGTCTCAGACCCTCTGGCGTTACAAGATATATCTCCAAACGTACATTCTTAGCCAGAATCAGATTCAGATCTGTCGGTGAAGTAAAATTACCTTGAACATAACAAAGCGATTATGCGGCAACTTCCACTTTGCGTAATCTCGCGCTTATTTTTTATCCTCGATCTCGTCAAATTTCTTTACTAACCGGTCACGCAGCCATTGACAGCTGTGGGTTTGTGTGCCGTCACAACGTAATGATATGACATAGCTTTCATAATATTCGTCTAACACTTTAATAAACACTACTACTCCAAGACCACGTATAACCCGAGGTCTTTCCAACACTTTTCAACAAGCGTGTTTTTCAATTTATCGCGCCACTAAGTTGGCTGCATTTCAAGCACATTACGTCCCGTCCACAACGGCCGATCGGTGCCACAGTATAGGGAGTCGATTTATAGGTCTGTTTTTTTTCTATACTTTGGCTACACTGGTGAAATGAGAAGGTGGCTCCCTGATCTGTTGCGGAGCATGTGCAGTAACAGACAGTTGTCTGCATGGTTTTACCGGTCAAAATATAAACTCAACCTGTCAGGATGTAAACAGAACAGACCGTACGTTGTGGATTTAGCGCGGAATAGAATCATGTCCACGTTTGCACATAGTGCACGCACCGACAAGAGTCGCTCGTGGACATGGCTGTAGTTCAATGTGCATCACCTGGACATAGCTTACAGGTCAGAAAAGCTATTACAGTTATTTTTCATATGGCCCTGGCCGCTCTCAGTTTTCTCTCTGATTTGAACCAAACCAATCCATGCTATGGTCACATAGTTCGTAACGTATAAATATTACTAAATACTAAGGTAGTAGTTTATAATTTTAAAATAAAATAAAATTCCACATAAAAAGTGAAAAATTTCTATGTGTGAGCGGCCGATTTCTAATTACATTCTACTGTTCGCTTCTCTATTTTTTTCCATCGAATCAATATACAAGTAAAACATCGATATATGTTATCTGTTCTTTATTTTCTTTTTGTATATAATATTTAATGTATATTTATATATATGTACTATTTCAGTAATCAGAGTTTTACGTGGCGTTTGAAAATTGTTACATATTGACAATGTAATATAATTCATCATGTAATTTTATTGTGCACATTGCATATTTACGATTTTTTGTGTAGCGTAATTTCATGAAACTTGATTTACAAACATTGTTACAAATTAGATTTTTTCTACAAAAAAAAAGAATGTTCATGTAAGTTTTCCTTTTTCTACAGTATGAATATTTCTTTTGCTCTCTGATTACTCTTATTTTCTACAGAGAAACGTAACACACATAAGAGTGACAATATGGTATAATTCGCAAACATCAGCTGAAGATCATTCACAGTTTGTTTTCTACATTTTCAATTTTCGAAACGCGAAAACAATAAAAAGAAAAAATCTTAGTATCTTCGTGATTGGCGTCATATAGGTCATAGGAATACGTATTTTTTTTTTTTTTTTTATCAGAAAGTAGTATTTGAATTAGTTGTAAAAGAGAGTTAATATGTTAGATACAAAATATATTTATATATCTCTAGCAATATAGAGTATTTTCTATTTTCTCTTTCTGTCTTCTTTTTTTTCTCTTGCCTAATAATATAATTTGTGTGTGAATATACCTCTTTATACTATATAATATGTATATATATAGTTAATCTCTTTCTTTTGACTTTGCAAGGCCAGCAAAAATCACACTAGAGAGTGAAACATAGTCTTCAGAGATGTCAAATAACAATCTCTAACTTATAATTGAACATAATTCTCTCGATGTTAATAATATATATACATTACGTAAAAAAAAGAATAATTTCTTCAAATTCCTCGGAATATTTAACCCCTTTGGGACACTCATGCTGTACATTTATTACGCGCAAAATTGTGCTATCAGGTCGGTCATATAAAAAGAAACATCAATTAATTTTTTTGTTTAGTCAATTCTTAAGTATAAACAAAAGTTTTAAAATGTCCAATTTGTTTTTTCTTTCGTAACCGCCCTGAGAGCGCGATTTACAAAATGCTCTCCTCCATTCTCCTTCCCTCAAGAGTTAAAATACAAATTTTAATATAAAGTCTTTTAGGTATTTTTTTTTCTAACAGTATAGATAATATACAAGATGTTTCCGAAAATATTCAAATTATATATTATATGATAACGTGTCCACAATATTAATCACTCTTTTGATAATGTGCGTACTTATTTAAACTTGACCAATACGTCGATTTTTCAGTATACTCTTTGGCTTATCTGTCACTTATCTTGGAGTATCAAAGCCACCTAATTCGATCACTTTCATAAGTATCCAGTCGACTTGTGTGACCAAGTATAAATATCAACAATCAATCGAAACAAATTGCGTGTTCAGATTGACGAGGTTTCTTAATTGTTTCTTGTGTACAATGTTATTTTCAAAAACTTCACTATACATATCTCGCGAATAAAATTCACAATTTTACTTCAGTCTTCTCAGACAGCACATATCTCTAAAAGACGATTAAAAGATGACTTAAAAATGTCTATTTGGTTTTAAACATCTTTAAGATGTCTTTAGGCCTTACCTGTGCTGTCTGGATTCGTTCTTTCTAGAATATTTGTGCAATTTTATTAAGAATCGTCCACAAGCCTTCGAATTTGTCAACAAAATATATAAAAAACTTTATAATATCTCTTGTATTATATACCAGTTTTTTTTTAATAAATAGACAATAGCATATATATGTAATAGCGTAAAATTTCGATAAATTAGCGTAATTTCTTCTCAATCTTGTTCTTCTTCACGCACATACACACACGGCAACAGCTTCGATTGAGATGCTGATTTAGTAATTTATTAATAAAGTTGATCCAATATATATTTATATACTGCGTTTAGTAGTATCTTCAAACGAGACAAAAATGCATACTAGCTTTTCATTATATATAATTAATTGAACTATCAAAAGAAAACACTTCAATTTTTTATATACAACTTTTTTTTTATACACATAAGAATATCTACTGTTGTTGGACAAAACACATTCCGAGTTTATCGATACTACAGTGGCAGTATATTAGAAATCATGTTTTTGAGTACTTAAGTGTTATTGGTACAATCAATATCGCGCATTATATAAGCAGTAAAACAATTTTACGCATTCTTGACAGAGAAATGTCGAAGCGACATTGTACAGGCAGTGTGTGATAAATATATTTTAACAAAATATCTGTAAAATATTTTTTCTTCGTTACGAAAACCGAAACTTTTTTTTTATGTAGTCGAAACCTACAATGGAACCAATAATGGAAAAAAAAAAAACGGGAAAAAATAAGGAGAATGAGGGAAATAAAAAGAAAATTGGTAAATTTTACTACATTAAACTTTGGTATTACGTGAGTGAACGTCGTTGTTCCTCTTCTTTGTGCCGGTCTGCTTAACGCCTTTGAGTGTCAGCCTATTTCAATGATTATTTACAAAGATAATACAAATTACAATCGATGTTAATACAAAAGTATTAAGAATAAGCAATTATAATTAAAAAATAATGGTAAGAGTGTGTCGTATTAATACTAGTTGCAAGAAATAACTCATTAGAATTGACACTTTGTCAATTACAAACAAATACAAAATACTTAATTTAGATGGTGAGAGAGATAACACTTTCTATTTGTGTATGCGACAAAGAGTTTTGATACTTCCTTGTGACATGTGATGTGTACATACATTTAACCGATTTGGTGCTGTATATATTGTATGCGATAAGTAAAAATCATTATTGGAAATTGGGTTTCTGCTTAAATTAGCACGCGAAAGTGGTGTTTCGACGAGTGTGAACCTCAAAAGTGTTTCTACAAAACTATTCTGATATCTAATACTAAAAAAACAAACTAGTAAAACTGGGGTCTCTTATCGGATAAGTCTACTATGACAAATACTGTAACAAGCGATACATGGTTCTTCCTGTAATGTGTAAAAATCACATTGTCGAAGCCCAGAAAGAAGTTTTTGTCCGTCGGAAATTGAATAATCCGAGCTACGGAAGAGAAGAAGCGAGAAGTTACGTATTAGCTTTCTAACATGTAATCGATACACAGACAACGTCTCGCAGTAATTTTTAATTTATCTCTTTTTGTTTTCAACGAGTGGTAGCTAAATTTCCATCTCGTTCTCTAAAACGGCAAATATCAGATATCTCTACTGCTTTTTTTTTTTTTAATTTTATTATTACGTCTACGGATGTATATTGACTACAAGTGGTTAACTTAAGTCTATTAATAAATTAATATATAGATAAATATTATGTGTTTTATAAGTCAAACAAGTCTATACTGCAAGTATCTCGAGGATGTCTCGAATCACTATACATAACTTCAAATAATCGCATGACTTATAGAACGTATAGCCGATTTTTTTTATCTAGAAAAAAGAAAGCTCAATTTGAATGAATAATCTTCGTGATAAAGCTTCTAAATTGCAAATTCTCTACATGCCTTTATAAAGCACTATAATGGTAGACCTTTGGAAGTGGATGAACAATTCCTGATGAACGGAAGGTACATGGTGTTTAAGTAACGAGACGTTTTAAACGTCTCTAAAAGACAATTTGCTTTGTCTTTAATGCGTCTGTTTTTTAAACGCTTATTGGTATTTCGCAATTTGAATAATCTCAACATCGGACTGTGCGTGAAAGTAACGTAAAACGAACAAAATGGCCAAAGAAATTTCAGATTTCTAAGGCCGGTACTTATGGTAGCCAATGATTTGTACAGCATCATAAGATAAACTCAAGGTTATCTTAAATAAAAGATCGGATTACCGGTCTTAAGAATCAATTTCTTTATTTGATTTTGTTACTTTCAGAGATTTAAAAACAAAAAAAAAAATGTATATGCGAAAACCATGTAATATGCTACAGCGACGATTTCTACTAGAGACGCATTTATTATTTTGCTCATCGACCGTTCTTTGGAAACTACACCACACGCGACTTTCGATCGCAGCAGCCCTTCTCGGGGGGATATCTTTTAATATCTCACTATATATAGCAACTTTTGCCTCGCGCCTAAAAACATACTTTCACACGCTAATTTTACACGGTAGACGTCTGTTGGTTATTGTTGTCTAGCGGAATGCTCGTGGAACACTCCTTCAGCATCGCTCGTAACCGTAAAATTTCTTTGGATGCCGCCGCCAGATCGGATTCCAGTTGCAGTTCCTTTTCTCGACGACGTTTCAGTTCGCGCTGGCATGTCTGAGATATAAATGAGCATTCAGCAAATTTCTTCCCGCGAAACATACCGCTATATATGATTCACATCGATTGTATCTATATTCCTCAACTTACCACATTCTGTCGTAACAAATCCAACTTGTCGCATTTCAGCCTAGTAACCTCCATCCTCAAGTTCTCGTTCTCAACGACACCGTCCTTGCTTGTACATCTTGTAGTGTCGTGAGTCTCTGCAGAACTCATAGATTCGAGGCCTGTGTCACTATCTGGATACACGGCTTGATCGAGCTCAAGTTCACTGTTAAGCGAACTGTCGTCACTCTCCGAAATTACTCGCTGCGTTACCTCCGTTGTTGTTGTTGTTGTTTTCTCCTGTGTACGCAGATTATCGTTTGTCAATCGCTGCACCGTCGTCGACGGGAGCGTTTGAGTTTTGTCGATAATTGTGGTGTCACCGTCGAGACAGACTACACTCGTGTTCTGTGATTCTCTACGATCATATTCGTCTTGTTGCAATGTCGTCAGACTGCTATCTTGGTTGTCGGTATTGGATAGACTGCTGTCCTGACTGCCGAGACTAGCGCGTTCAGAGTCTCTTCTCAGAGTTAAATCCGGCGAGCCAAGAGGACTGGACGGCTCCACCGAGCGCTTGTTGCTGTTCACCTTCAAGCGCAAGTTTATTTTCTAATTTATCTCGTTTCATTTTATTTAATTTACAGTAAACTTTCTATCAATTTATCTACTTTATTTTGTAATTAATGTTCAGCTAGAAAATCAGTTTTGATTAATTATAAACTATAATATAATGTCACTAACTTTTATAGCGGACGATGATTGTCGATTGCTCGGTGGACTGGACTCCATTTGTTGACCTTTTTTAGCCAGCTGTTGAGGCACGCTCTCAGTCGATGCGTTTCTCACACGCGAGATCAGTGCCTTGCGCACGGTATCGATAAACCGTGAACCGCTACCGCTACTTCCCGATGTAGATATTTCGCCTGTTGTCGGACTTACCGGACATACATTCAAACTTGAATTTCCCAAGCCTAATGGACCGCCGAGAAACTCAGCCGTTTTGGTTTGCAGTTCTTCTGTCAGTGATTCTAACAAAGCCGACCTAGTCCGCAACTGTAAATTAAAACCAATTAACTTAATTATCGTCTCAAACAATTTTTGTTTGCCGCGTTCCTTCCGTATCTTTTCAAGAAATATCATAATAGCAAGAGCCGTTAGATGCCGTTACACGAGAACACACACACACACATCGAAAGTTTTTCCAAGTTCTCACGAAAGACATCAAGAAGAAACGTACCTCTAACTTAGAGAACTTATCAGCCTTGTAAGCGGCATTCTCGGCATTTATGAGCTTCGTGAGCAAGAACTCTTTGAACTCGACTTCTCTCAGAAACACCGCAGGTGTTGGCAAATTCGGTCCAAACCAGGGAACGTCATCGCGCGCCGTTATGCTGACTTTGTACCTACGCACAAAAAATTAAATTTGATTTTAATTATTCAAAGTAAATATCCGACCAAGAGAAACAATGATCCCAACGATCGACAGAAAACACTAATTCGGACAAACGTTTCGTAACGAATCGTTCTGCCAGGTTTCGACTTCGAAACAAGCAGCGCGTAAACAGAGACAGTAACCAAGAATCTAAGAATATACCTCGTATTAGAAGTGCAGGGGTCGATGACTTGCACAACGATGAAGGCGTGCAAGAAGTGGCTGGCAATCATGTCCGGGCTGAAGGGCGTCGGTTCTTCCTGAAATATGATGGCGACGATGTCGTTGCCGATGTGTCGCTTGCGCTGCAATTGCTGCGAGTCGCCCGGACTGTACGGCAACAGCGAGGCCACGTGGAAAAGTACTTCTCGGCCTCGAAATACCTCGTATACCGCAAAATCTCCAGTCTGACCGTGCCGAGTGTCCAAACCACCTCGATAACTACGTAAGATAACATTAGATTTAAAAATATTGCAATATATAATTTTGATACCTAAAGAAACTCCGACTCTTCAAAAAGTCTTACCCTTTGTGATCCTTCAAGTCAATTTTCTGACCGAGCAAGTCAAGGAACTCCTGAAAGGCTGGTGTAATCTGCCGATTACCGAAAAGCTGTTCCTCGGTCACTTGGCCGGCTCGCTGATGGAGAACGCCAAATTTGAACCTGGAGACCAAGGCGTGCTCGTCGTATCGAGCTATCAGAGTTCCTGCGCCGGGACACATAACCGGCATCAACGGGCTCACATTTAGCGTCTCGTTGATTGCCTGCAAAAACGTTCTTTCGTGAAGAAAAACACGCGCGAAAGAGCAATCGACGCGCGATTACGAAAAAGCGCAGCAAGGTTTTTCCTGTGTTTTATCAGGAAATATATCCCACATCTCTCTCTCTCTCTTTCTCTATCTTTCGCCGCCATGCGATCGCACACGTAACAGTCGAGAGATAAAACATGCACATACGAATGTTAAATAATTCAGCGCGTTATACGTTTTTGCGCACTCTAACGGAATATAGAAACGAAGAATATGTAACATATGCATCGCCGGTGGCGAATAATTTAAGTCGCTCTATAAAACGTTTTGTGCATTTTTTAAAGATACCTAAAGATTTTACCGACGTTTAAAAAAAAAACTCTATAGAATTTAAAAACGAGCGCACACGAATAAACATTAAATCACACAAAAATAGGCGTTTTTCTTTTCGTCGCAATTTTTATTCAATTTCGAATGTATATTTTTACTGTGTACAAAACAATGTGACAATTACTGCGTTTCAATGTTTGTTTTTTTGCGGAAGTGCGCTTAGATTAAAAAAAAAAAAAAATGCATATGTTTACATTGCTTGGCTCGTCAAGCTATAATTAATAATTCAAACAAGTGAGTAATGCCGTATCGCTTAAAAGCGGAACCTTCGCCATCTCGAGTCCGCTTTTCGTTGCGATGCATGTACGATTGCCGGAGCGATTGTTTGATCTTAAAACAACGTCGAAAAAAAAAAAAAAAAAAAACTGAGCTTGTAAACGCTCCGTTCTGCTAGTATTAATATCGCGTTCTGTAAACACAGCGCGACTGTTCGTCCAGGCGTTTCTTATTATCTCTTCAAACACGCAGGTAATCGAGCACGCCTATCTCGAGTATGCCACCCAGTATCAGCAGCGTCTCCGATATACGTAAATAATGCATGATACATTGCACAATAGTTTGAAGTGAGAGACAATTTTTCATGATAGTTTTTTCCTCCCCCCCCTCCCAAAGGAAAATAAAACTTCCACATCACGCTTCGTCGCTAAAACATTTAAAATGCATCGCGTACCTCTTGAAAATACAAAAAATGTTATAACACATATGTAAGTATTATTTAAATATTAAAAATGAAAATACACAAAATTATATTCTGAATTATAAGTTTTATACGTTTCTATCATATACGTTTTTATACGTTTCCTGTTATTCCGTTTCATGTTTTATCCAAGTGATAAATTCACTTATTTATAATGTTGCTCAATTTCTCAACATAATTCAAAGTTGAAGTTTCGCATTACTGACGCTACGTATAAAAATATATATTCTCGACGAAAAAAATTGTAATAAACGAGTCGTCTTTACCTTGACCATTTTTGTCGGCGTAGGAGAGCCGAGATTCGCGGTCGGAACCAAATCGTGGGTCGATCCTGCTCGCAGTCGCAACAACACCCGCCAGTGTTCCTGTCCGGCGACCGTCTCGGCCTTCACCGAGACCAGGACCGGGCCGTTCTCACCGTCCCTTCCCACGAGGTTCACGTGCTCCTGCGGACAGGGAAAAGAAGCCATAACGCGATAAAGCGCCGCCGTGCTTCACGGTCGTGTAGAATAATTATGGATACAATTAGCCACGGATTCCGGTTCTTTCGTAGAAACTACAATGTTCTTATCTCCTAAAAAATCATCGAAAGGTTGGAAAAACTATGGGAATCACGTAAAACAGTAAGAAGTATAGCATCTTATAACAAAATGAATATTAGGTCGAGTTGTTTCACACATAAAATTTCTCCGTAATGTAATTCAGCGTCCGTATATTGTTTTTCAATTTTGATTGTATCAAACTCGACGCGTCGTGTCATCAATGATCATTCGAGAAATAGGAAAAGTACAAGCCAGTTGACGGACGCGGCGGCGTTGATGTCGCAACGTTGCTCGACGCAACGTATATCGCACAATCTGACAGACATTAGAACAATTATGGTAGTTCGCGCGTTCCGGATTCAATTAGACATTACGAAATTTCAGCGAGTAAAATACATGTAGGTGATTGCGGCCCTGAACGCACCGTATTACGCAGTAATACACGCAGCACGCTTTGTAAACTATAGTTAGCGAGTTTTGTCCCGCGTTTTTTTTCTTTCTTTTTTTTTTTTTTTTTTTATGTACACAACGATGTCGTCTCGCGCGATATAAATCGAGGTCAACGTATTGTATTGTGCAATTATTACCTCGCCGCGTGTGTGTATATACAATCGCGAGCGATTTTTGGCTGATTAGCAGCTTTCGTCAAAATTTCGAAATTAAACATTACACACTTAATGAAAAGTGAAAGAGAATAAATCCAAATTGTCAGTTTTGACATACCGCGAATGTTTCTGAAATAAAAATTACACAAGCAAACATCAAGTATTTGCTTTCCGTCCCGCGCACAAGTGTTGTAGAGTCGGCTAAATTTACTCGAGTTTCTCTTTATTTAATTTGTCTGGTAACGGCTACGATCACACCAGTATGTTTGCGAGGCTTCTCGCAAACGTGATGAAAAAAAAAAAAAAAAAAAAAAACCAGCTGGCCGTCGCGGACTTAGAGGTTCTTACGCGCGTCGGTACTTTTATGGCAGACAGCCGCAGAAGTGGCCACGATGTGAATAGCGAATGTTTCACGAAGATGGTAGACAGCACCGGGTAATATATAAAAACGGTGCATCGTTGTTGATCGTCCGTTGCACGCAAGCTGAAATGCGCGCGGCTTAGAAGAGATGCACGAAAGGTCGGGTCGCGCAGAATGGTGTACTGTACGGTAAAATGCACACACACTCTATTCCCCCTCGCTGCTTTATTAACCTTAGAATGAAAATGCTGAAGGGAAGGGGTTGGAAAGGGCAACGCGCCCGGAGTTCACATGAGCTTATGCCAACAAGAGTACACGCATATAAATTATTTTCGTTATGTCATCATCCATAATTAATGGATCAAGATTGAAATTGATAATTTAAACCAATCATGAAGTGTATATAGATGACATATGAAAGTACGATTTTTAAAATAAACATTGCAATCCTTCCAAACCAATATATTGGGTCATTAAGTATAAAAGTACAGAGATTTTTTATTGTTAAATTTTATCAGCGTATATGTAATCTTCAAAAGCATATTTTATCAAAATATCTATACGTACATTAATTCTGAAGTGTAACACTTGAAAAGTACGTAACACACACTTGTGATGTTGAAGTTTCAAACAAATATTTTTTCAAATTTATCACAAATATTTTTTTTCTATGTATCTCTCGGAACAGATTTTCTTTTGTAGATATATGTCTTCCGAACTATGAAAAACAAACACAATTCATTCAAATTTATGAAAAAAAAATCTTCAGCGTTTTCATTAAATTACAGTAGGATATAATTGAAAGGTCAATTGCTATGCAAAATTATATCTTCTAACGCTTCTTTTTTTCTTATCAGAAAAAAGTCGTTGTTTCAAATGTCAAAAACATCTTCCCGACTTTGCTGTTACGTGAACTCTTGGGCGCGCCCTCCTATTGTAAAGCAACGGAGTTTTTATCTCGTACCCGCCGCGCGTCTCCTTTGTTCTCCGGCTCTCGATTGATATCGTTGGCCGTTATGATCGGAACCAAGGTGTAACCGTTTGCTGTTTGGTTCGAATTACTCCGCGCGCTCCGTTGTTATCTCTCGCAAGTAATCGGTTCTCTTTCTTTCACGTGTGTGACCCGGCTTTTTTCTTTCCTGAGCGTAGCATTACCGACGCGCGGCATTACGACGAGAGCACGCGATACTATCACACATGTGCTAGCAAAGGGTGTGCGCGCGCTTACGATACGCTATTTCTAGATAAGATCTTCCGCGTCAAAATAGCGAGAATTCAATTTTGACCGACCAAGTATCAGAAGAGTATATTTTTTTTCTCTCTTCCCAATCTTCTCCAGAATCTTTAATTTTCTCTCGTCGGTGTATCGCGTTCGTTTTGACGAAGCGCAAGTTCCGTAATAAGCGTTGCTTTCCATACATTTGCGGATTTCACTGTTTGCGTTACAAGATAGAAGGATGAAAAAAAACAAGCACGCATCGAGCGAGAGGTAATACTGTTGAGTAACAATAGGCGGAACGGGAACTCATCCGTCGAGCCTTATCTAAAGAAAAAAAACTACGCGATACCGGAAGCGGAAAATAGCGCGCTCTTTTTCTTACGAGTGTAGTTACAGCTCGACTGTTCTCTAATTAGAAGATACCTGAGTAAATACGTAATACTTGCAATAATATATAGTGCATACATATACATATATAGTATATATAGCGTAAACAGTAACTGTACTAACCGATACCAATAACTGTAATTTAAGATTAAAGAAACATTGAATGTAAATAAGAGAACGTTGACAAATATAATAGCAAATTTGATTTTACAATATTTTTTTTTCCATTCTTTAAATATTTCTATCAACTTAAATCGCGATTCTCTCTATGATATTACATCTCTCGTCACATTTGAGATAAAAGTCCTTCGGCGCAGACGATGATTTGGCACCGACGGGGAGGAAAAAGAGATGAGAGAAAAGAGGACGGCAAAAGCGGAAGAAAATCGCGGGTAAATCGTGAAAAGTAAATCGTGAAAACGACCGACGACGAATGAATATCGTAGAAGGAGAAGGAGAGGATTCCCTCTTCCTCCTTAGTTCCAGACATCGGACTCTCGCGGAGAGAGACTATGAGAATGTTCCCACTCCCACGTCTAAAGTATTCTTTTCCTTTTCCTACGTGCCTCTTTTCCCTCCTTTTGCCCTTCCCGCCCCCGCCCCGTGACTATTCCTTCTCTCCTTCTCTTTATCTCCGTTTCTTCCGTGCAACGCGTCTCCTGTCTCTCCTTGCACACCTACGTACACCGTCCGAGCCGATCGTGGCTCATCACGCTTCTTGCACTGCAATGTAATTTCAGGGGCGGAATAATATTTACGTAGCGCCCTGATTCCACCGATCGAATCAAAATAAAATGAGATCGTTCGGGTAAAGCTTGGAGAATTATATACGAGAAAATATGAAATACAGTAAAAAGACACAAGCAATGCACGATACAGAAAAGAAGTTGCGATATTGCTTTGAGTCTATTTTATAAGCATAAAATAAAGTTTTGGAAAACAACGAAGTATCATCGTTGTCAGTGCGCAGTTTTTTTCCTCCCGATGATACCCCGTCTTGTTAGATCGTTTCTCTCTAACTGTATTCTGATACTGGCTGTTTCCATTTATCTGTTTAAAACTGTATGTTGAATTATTTCTATCTTATCGAAATTCCAAGCAGCATTTTTCTTGATTCGAGACTCACATTTTTTACAGTCACGTCTACGTTGTCGTTTTTCCCGTTCAAGATTTAACATTTAGAGATGAGATGTGTATATGTGTGTGTGTGTGTGTGTGTGAGGAGGAGAAAATGAAACTTACCCTTCCAACGAAAAAACGGCGGTAGCACTTCGCCGTGTCGTCCTGATCTATCCTGGGTTGCTCCCAAGCTGGCTGCGCCGGTAGCAACGCTCTGCCGGCCGAGTCGAGATTATGTCGATGATCGGTACCATCGACCCAATATCCAGACGGGGTGACGACCAGGGGCGGTTGAACGCCGGTCGCGGTCTGCTGCTGCAAGGCCGCTTCCATAAGTGCCCTACCCAAGGGTGCATCACCCACCGGCGACGGTGACAGCGCCGGAATGTGATTGCTGGGTGCATTACCGGGGCTCGACGTCGTTCTGTCATCTCTTGGAGTCTGTAAACAAAAATCAGACGCTCGATAATTCATTGTATAAGAAAATATAGAAAAGCAAGAAATTTAAAAGTACGACTAAGAACATCTTTGATGTACTTAATGTAGTCAAACAGCAAAGTTGAAAGATCAATAAAAAAAAAAAAACAATCGCGGTTGTCGACACGCAATAATTATTTCGTAAATGTATTTGGAACGTACATTTTGTAACTTTATTTCGAAGAATCGATAAACATCATCGAAAGAAGAAAAATTAAAAATAAAAAAAATTGACCAATTAATATTGACATAAGACACTAGCCACTCGCTACGAAATAAATTGCGAATTATTGAAAAATACTGTTTTTCTCAAAAATCACAATTAAAAAGTACACAAAAAAAGTACAGAAAAAAATGATGTTGAATCAATAGCATTGGTTTAATTGAAATAAGTATATCCTGTTAATGCAACACCAATATTATTGAACTACACACGGCAGATAGAGTTGCTTTGAAAATTTAGATATTAAATCTTATATCGTGCAATTGAATAAACTATTTATTTTTGTGGCAACCCGTGATGTCGATTTTAATTGAAGCAACTCTATATTTTTTTTTTTTTTCAGTGATATTTATTTCTAACAATGTACACGGTAGTAGGACGGTTTTCTCTTTCTGTGTATCTTGACGAATACAAGAGAAACAGGAGAACGATCGAAGAGAAGCCTCGCGCGCGTCGTGAAACACCGAGGAGAGATCGAGGCGAGTAGGTCGAACGGTACGACGGGTCCCATATACGCATCGCTGGAGAAACGGAAACGAAACACACGTCCACGTGTCACCGTACACCGTGTGCACCCACGCACAGATCCGCGAACCCGTGCGGACGTCGACCAGCCAGATATCGACTGGTTACCCGATACGATTATTGGATACTCGTCCCCGTGGCGAAATGTGCATCGATACGTGTAATTTTAGGCGTCTCTTCTCGCCTACGCACACGGGATATCGAGCAGATAATTATTAACTCACTTGATACTGCGTTAATGCCTGCACGTGACGTTGACGGTAAACTCGGTACACGGTAACGGGGTGTAACATTATAGCACACCTTCCGATAAAAAATTAATATCCTCATAAGTTCTTTTATAAAAGTTCTCGACGGGTAAAAATGTCTACACTCAAACTGGACTTTAAATGGATTTTCAAAAAAAAATCCTTACAAAAATAACAGGTACAACTTTTTATAATATCTACTGATCATTTTGAGCTACAATATTTTTTCGAAAGTCGGTTCTGATTTAAACGATTGAGTATATCGACCGTGATGTTTCTCACTCAAGATTAGCTGTTCATGTTAATCATCTCGCATATGCGAATCAAGTACCGGCAAATTTCTCCTACGCGCGCATTGAAAGCAATCGCGCATAAAAGCGCATTTTCTCCCGATCCTCATTAGAGAAAATTGCGTCTTATTCATGTCGCATGGATGTATATAATCAGACGTTTCACGCTTATGTCTCAATTTACCTCCGATTCATCTGTGAAAAGTTTCAACGCGAATTGCAGTTTTTCTCGCGAATTCAATACGGAATGTAAATAAATTACATATCTATGTGACCGCGAACATGTATATAATACAAGCACGTACACTTGTACACAATAGTCGCATTCGATTTTAATTACACGATACATAAAATAGAAAAAAAAAAGAAAAAAAAATACACGGCGAAATAAAACACCGATATTATACGGTTAGCTGTGCGCGAAAATATCTGGCCGAGAAAATTCAATCGAGCTTCTAAGAGGCGCGCACGATCGCTCGCAAGGATCGATACATTATGCGGTCTTGGTGGAATAATTCTATCTGGATGTGGAGGTGCAACGCGCGCGATAGCTTCATCGATCAGTGACGCGCGTTGCGAGCGAGATTATGTTACCACGTGCAACGTTCACGCTCCGCCAAATGCACGTGCGTAGTATGCAACGTCGAAATACCGTTGCGATTTAGTTATCGAATGTCACTCCGAGACGCTTTGGAAGCGCGAGGCACGTAATCGGACGCTTTCACATTAAGCAAATGGAAAGTGATTAACGTACGTGTCGATCGTGGGAGTTAATTGCTACCTTCGCGATGCGATTATCGCGATAATCTCCTCAACGTCAAAATCAACACGTTTCCGACCGAAAAAGATTATTGCAGAGATCTTTTATTACATAATGCGCGTACATGCGGATTTCCTTTATTACAGTTTACGTCTTTCTTTTTTTACGGTGCAAACGTGTACAATTATTAGTTAATTGTTGATAATTCGAACGCATCGCCGTTTCGAACGAACGCGCACGCTCGAGACTTATACATCTCGATGACATCGTTCTATTTCGAGTTCGGTTCCGTTTGAACGGCGCTGCAGAATGAACACGGTTTTAACAAGGCAAGATGGAGAGAAGGAAACGGCGGAGCGGAGTAAAATGCGGTTTAAAAGTAATGCGGATGTGGCCTCTCAGATTACGTTTCTTCAACGCTTTTCGTCGTCGACTTTTCTGTGCGCTCTTCCTCTTTCGAGATCGACCATCGCGTACCTCTCTCATCGAGAAAAAAGAAGTCTCTCTCTTCCCCGCTTCTTTTTCTCATCTCTTTCCCGCCAGCTTTGCTCGATAATTTTAAGCGTCTCTAATTTCGAACAGAAGAAAAAATCCGGAGATGGAAGTGTTCAAAAAAGAAAGAGAAGAAAGAGACAAGCGCAGCTATCCTCCAAATATAAACCTCAGCGCGGCAGTCGGAGCAAAGGACTGGAGAAGGAAATATCGCAAAACGCTACCACGTATACAGACTCGCTCGTTATATTTCGAGATTTGAGCGCGATCGTGACTTTGGACGAATTCAGGCCAATCGAAAGTGTATGAACAGATAAATATTTCTTCAAACTCTTATTTCTCATAAATTATTTTAATTTAATTTACATAAATATAAAAACTGAATATCTTCTCTCTCTCTCTCTCCCTGTCTTTCTCTCTTTCTCTCATTATACATCTACAATACAATATAGAAATTAAATAGAAATTAAATAGAAATTAAATAGAAATTTAAAAAAATGCAGAATTTTTTTATATACTTGAAAATTTATCAATTTTCTCAACGAAATTGATTGAAACTGTAAATGAACGAGTTCTCGACAATACACCATATTTTGAGATACCCGACGTTCTACGTGAATTAGAAGTATCTCTCAATGGTTCTCGAAAGCGTCGAAAACGAAGAGAGCTAGTCGCGACCCCGATAACACACATACACTGATATTCAGCAACAGTTGTGAGCGTATTATTACCGGTACCACCTGCCACGACGCCATACGCTCGCATTATTAGCACCCACTGCCCGCCTTTATGGTGGCCGTGTAATGGTGTTCACCGTGTAATGGTGTAACGGACGAAACGAACTACATACTTTTACAACAGGTCGCTTTTAACGCTCTCTGCCCGCATCTTATAAAAGTTATACCGAACAAAAGATAAAGTTAAAAAAAAATATAAGTAAAATTATTAATCGATATTTAACTAAACACAAATTAGACGTTACATGCTTTTGCATAATTCTTTGCTTTAATGATAATAGTATATTCCATGGAAATTCCGTGCAACTCAGCTACGCTGATATAATATAATAAATGCGTGCACGCACAACACGCACTCTATTTCCGTCGCGGAGAATCCGAGGTGAAACTCCTTGTACGCGTGCGAGTGTCTTCGACATTTACGGCGGTTTATTAACGTGAGAGTCGCGGGTACGTACCGGTTACCGAGAATAACGAGTGGAATAATGTCCCTCGTTTGTTGAGCTTTTGCGTTTGCGCGCACGTCCATCTCTCGTCAAACAGCAACTTTTTTCCACGATATTAATTAAGTAATTCTGACGATGCTTGAGCTTAATTAAGTAACAAATTGACGCGAAGATAGATTATAATACCACGTGCACGACGGGGGACTTGGAGCCCGCAATACAACGAAAAAAGTAACTCGCCAAAAATTTTCCATCGATCACGATCGCGCACAATTTCAGCGATTTATCCGTATAATTAATTGATCTCGATTTTAACGGGAAGGCTGCAGATTCAGGAGAAAGTTGCACTCGCGTCTTGTAAGAACACAAGGGCCGATTGTATGCGATCGGCTTATCTAAAGTGATTCACGTGGCTGAGTCACTTACGTGCGAGAGAGTGGAAGAACCTTGAGAGAAGACCCTTTCGGATGAAATAAAAGTGTACACGCTCTTGACATGTTTCTCATAATTTTTAACTTACGTTTGTCTTACGAGGGAAATACAAACTTTTACTTTGATATACACATAATACAATATATAATTAAAAATCTCACATATTCAATATATATTAAGAGAAGTTTTTATGTTTATATGTAATTATATATACTATGTATATATATATATTTATTTATTTATTTACTTTTCTTAAACGTGTAAATTAACACATATGAAAAATCGAGTTGAATTTGAATATTATTGTAACAAAACTCTCTGAAATTAGATATTTCTATTTTTACGTTACCTTAATGACCCGCGCATTTAATTATATACAATGTGTTGTTATACAACAAAAGCGAAGCAAAGCATTGTCTGTATTGTGAAAAGGATACTATCTGTCGGTCAACGATACTCAGGAAACCGCGTCGCTCATTAACATCCGTCCCTCGGTGTTGTACGATCGCGTATACATGTATGTATACCGCCCATATCCGTCTTACATAATGTCCCTCTTCACGATTATAAATATCCACGAGACGCGACAGAAAGTATGGAAAGTGCGTGTGCGAGCGTACGTGGGTGGTAATTATTACTTTCCGAACACATTGCCGATTACTCCGCTTTGTTCAATCGTTACTGCCGTTTGACAAACCAATTTGCACGCATTATTCGCAAAATACGTTGTAAAGTGAAAAGATGAGAAGATCGCGCGACAAACGGAGGATGAAAAATACTGAAAAGAGAATTACGGCGTTAAGTATTCTCT